CTGTGTGATTTATCAAAATAAAATCTTATCTATAATGGAGCACTCACCGTTTTTATAAAGATCCTTCAGTTCAACTAATAGGATCCTAGAAACCTAAGTGATGTCATCCGGTTCTCCCAACCAGTTTAAAACATGTCACTGACAAATGGAGTTGTGATGCGATCTCGGAATGGCCATAATTGCTACGAAGAACTGTTTGATATGGATAAACGATCATAGTTATTTTGCACGCCAACTTGTTGAAAGGTACCTCAGTCAACCCAACTATATAGATAAAGCTGCAGATTTTCCTTCAGTCCAATATAATAGTAAACACTTGTCCAATAAATCTAGGTATACTCATGCCTGTCCTTTAGCAAAACTCATTTGTTTGTTGGCGCTTATCGATTACATTTACAGATACAGTTCAATGTTTCTTGAGCACCAGCTTCTGTACCTTTTGATGTAACAATTCCATAGTGGACTTTCTCACCACCTCTTTGTATGTCATATCTTCAGGAACAATCAGAAGTTCTATTATAAATATTTGTTATATAATAATGCACATTACAATTCTCCTCAATTTGTGAAACAACAGTGCTTGAAAAACGCACTCGTGAACACTATCCAGCCTGGTTAGTAAAAGGAGAACGAAAACGTGTATATAGTTCAGTGACAGAACATCTAGTCAATTCACGACATTCAGAGCCATTCGAAAAATCCTTCAAAATCGCATACAAGATTCCATCAAACCTATCAAAGCGAGTAAAATTAAGACATCTTGGCATAGCCGAGGCACTAGCCATCCTAAAGCTCAAACGGACGTTATGTATCCAAAAAAAATACGTCCAACCCTTGTCACTGCCATGGTCATCATAAACAGGTAATTCTTTTAATAGTGACTATCCCATTGCCTTCCTTATCCAATGTTCCTCTTTATTCATGTAATTAAGTTTTCTTAATCACTATTTACACTACTATTTTTCATACCCGAACTTCCTGGCTATTTTGTCATTTTATTATTTCTACATATTTAATCCCTAACTGCATAAACAACTATTCGTCACACTAGTTATGATCCCATTAGATTTTTTATCCAAACGTCCTGCCTATTTTGTTATTTTTACATTTATAACACCTAATTGCACAATATGTCAATCTTCTTAATAATTATGATGCTAATTTGCTTGAGTTTTATCCGTCCCCTGTTTATTTTTTTTATTATAGCTTGAAACCACACCGTATTTTTGGTACAAGTATGGAATTTTCAGCATGTGATATCGGTAGCCCAAATTTTGCAGGCCGACCATTGATATCACGTATGCGTTGGGGGAGATCGAATCCCGCACCATGTGCATGGTCGGCGAGAGTCCTAACCGCTGTGCCACCGACGCACATGGCATTTCAATTCCTAAATGTAATTTTATTAATTTGACCCTCGACCTAAAATTATTCTGGAACTTTCCCACCCATTTTTCATAAATACACAAATGTACAGCCGAGTAGATGACATCGTCGAAACGAAAATTTTCTTCGCTGCAACTATCTTAATCATTCCCTATGATAAAATGAATGTATATATATATATATATATATGTGCGTCGGTGGCATAGCGGTTACGACGCTTGCCGACCATGCACATGGTCCGGGGTTCGAACCCCGGCCGACGCACTCCTTTACCTCGCTAAGCCAGAAATAATGCTGGTGAAGAGGAAAGGTTGGGCATGAGGCTAGCAACCCCATCCTGTAAAATAAACACTGCTACAGAAACTTCAAGTCACTAGCTTGAAGCCCTATGTTCCACTGGGGAATGTGAAGGATAAATATATATATATATATATATATATATATATATATATATATATATATAGTATTTTGTTCTCTCACATGGTTTTGGTTATTCACTTGTGACCTCATTTAAACTGAGCTGTTGTCAAATTTCGTAACGCCTCACTAACCACGTATTTTATTCACCGCTGGTAGAATAGACATTAAACACACTGTGTTTGGTTTTCATGTGTGACCTCGCCTCAACAGAATTGTAATCAAATTCACTGGCGTTCCTCTAAATATATATGTGGTGAGAGCTATCTACTAGCCAAATTGGTAGACAGTAATTTACGTCAATATTTACGTTCCCAAGATTTGTCGTGAGAAAATGTGAACAAAGATTGATTCAAAACCGACCACAGCAGACTTTGCGTAGGCGGATGCAGTTAACATATAGAGGATTTGACATTCAAGAAACAGTCACAAATAGATGAAAGATTAACTTTACGTGAGAAACAACCAATCGGAAGACTGTGTTTATTCGCTTAACTATCCATAATAATGTACCTGAAAATATATAAATATGCGTTGATTTCCTTAATAAATGATCTGTTGCCTGACTCTTGCCTTCTGTCGTTACATATATATATATATTTTTTTTCCATGATTGACAGAATACATATTAATACATATCATCCTTCCCTACCCCCTAGATCACCTATGTTTACGTAGTAGTCTTACATACTACCACACCCCTCATCACAATTAATGTTAGCCGGTCAAATAGACCAATCACATCATGTGTAATTCTCCGACATGTCTGTAGCCGTCACACTACCTGTTATGTGTAAAATTTACACGTTTGCTGATAGGCAGGTCTCAATTTACTAAATTCAAGCCCAATCAGCTAATTGTTTCCTTTGCCCACTGGCCGTAGAGTGCGATTTTCAGTCCTAACCACACTAGTTAAACATGCAGTGCTTTCTTTCAGCACTCAAGGCATTTTCTATAATTGGATTGTAAGGATTAGTTTTGTTTTTACGAGTTGATCAGGGACTGATATCAGTAAGAGAACCATTGAAAACCAGGGAGTTACTGGACAGCTGTTTTATCCTAGTTTGGGAATCATTGGCATTACGCACCCACTGGGGTTCGAACCCAGGACCTTCCGGTTACAAGGCAAGCTCGTATATCATTCAGCCACCGGGACCCGATTCAATGGCTGGTGCGTACTGCCGATGATTCCCAAACTAGAATTCAAGGCATTATTTCAGCTGCAACGCACAGGTTAGAATTAGTTTAGAATTATTGTATGCTTGGGATTCTAAACTAATTCTAACCTGTGCGTCGATAATGACATTTTATCGTAAATGAATATTTCAAGCTTGACTGATAAAATTCAGTCTGCATCGAAGATAGAACTAGACACATTACAATAGTTACTGACTAGTGTCCAATCAAAGAATATTTCATCTGTCCAAAATAAGCCCACTAAGTAATGAAATAACACTGGTCGTTCTTAAAAAAGCACCGGACGCTTAATTAATGCGACGAAACTTTAAAAATGGGATTTGCAGCTGAAATAATGCCTCTAGTGCTGAAATAAAACTGAAAAAGATTGCCACTGTGCGCTGAATTAATTTTTTTCTTCTGTGGTGATACCAATCAGCGCTGAATCTGGGTTGAGAGGGCTGAAACAACGCTGCTTAGCGAACCCAGTAGATCCTGAGCTACTTCTAAAAACGCCTAGAAAAAGCACAAGGTGCTTAATTAGTGTCAGTCATGCCGAAAACCAGCACTGAGTTCTAATCTGTGCTTACAATCAAACCATTCCAGAACGATTTCAGGATTTACTCATCATGGAGTGTTAGGGTTAGTTCAGAATTAGCGAGATTTATTCCACCATTATAGTAAGCCTGGGGTAGTTCAGCTGAACTCCCCATCAATCTGATTTGTAAACATTTATTTCGCAATACGAATTTTAAACAAGCAACAAAGATTAATAATGCAGCATTTAATGAATTCATCAAATTTCGGTAGAACTCGTCAGCTGAATACTCTACATACACGGATATATATACTTTTGAAATTACATTTTCTAGCGAAAATAACTGATGGCACAATCGAAAGATCTATATTTAGAAAGTCTTCATGGACAGGACAGTACATGCATTTCAAGAGCTTTGTTCCAATCCAGTATAAAAAGAACTTAGTCAGAACACTGTTCAATAGAGCACGGAAAATTTGTTCTGACAGTACAACTGAGCATGAAATAAAAGCTCTGAAGGATATTGTATCTAAGAATGGATACCCTGAGAAGTTCATTGATAAATACTCTAAACAAAATTAGCCCCTCCAAACAGTTCCGAAGAAATCTGTCTTTATCAGTTTGCCATTCAAATGAGATGATGTACAGGAAGTAGTCAGACGAGAACTCAACGGAGCTATCAAGAGAACTTAATATGCTGCAAAACTTGTTTTCCTTAACACCACTAAGCGAGTGGTTCAACAATCTGGGAAAGACCGCTCGCCAATCCTCGACACTTCAAACTGCGTATATCAATTTGAGTGTGTTTGTGGAAGCAAATACATAGGTCGTACGGAAAGGTGATTTTCTACTCGCATGATGGAGCATTTGATAAAACGGTTGAAAACAGATGAATGCAAAGTGCCAAAAACCTCAATAACAAAACATCTTGTGGACTATGGACATGATATTGACGCTGTCAAGTCGTTCACTATTGTCAGCAGACAAAGAAACAGGAAGATGATTGCAATTGCAGAGGCTTGTGCAATTCGGGTTTATAAACCAGGTCTCTGTGTACAAAAGGAGATGGTCGTCACTCTGAATCTACCATGGTAATACGTTTCACTTATTATTCTACCTTTTATTATTATTATTATTGATTCATTTATCAGTAGCATTACCTTAACTCATTTCAACATTATTCTAACTATAACTATTACTATTGATATTGGTCTGTTTGCAATTCTTGATATATTCTCTAATGACTAATTATTTATCTAAATGATGTAATTGAAGCGTAATGCATTTTATCTCAATTTTAATTTCTCATACTCCCTCTCCCCTTATCTATTTGAACATGACCTGGAAAACATTCGCACCTGTCTTTCTGCATGACTAATTCAATGTAGTTTATTTGCTTGTCAGTCTTATATCTCCCAATGTAATTTCAAAAGTATATATATCCGTGTATGTAGAGTATTCAGCTGACGAGTTCTACCGAAATTTGATGAATTCATTAAATCCTGCTAATATTAATCTTTGTTGCTTGTTTTAAACTCTGATTTGTCCCTCATTTTGTGTTGAGTGTGAGTATTTATACCTCCAAGATAATAATTAATTCTGCAGAAATTTCATAACCTCAAGTTAAATTCAGAAAAGACGCTTATTCCAGAACTGTTTTGGCTCTACAGGCTGAAATGAGTCGCAGACCGCCATTTGGAAGCAGCACAGATAGGTTTAAATTATACTATCATTTTTTATGTGTTTAGAGACAAGATAAATGTTCATCCAAGGTGGAAGAAAGAAGTGTACTCGGATAGTTCAATTCCTGGCTACAGTGGTACCGATGTTGCTAACAGAGAGACTAGACATTCAAACACCTGTCAACATAGCAGTTCCATGTCAGGTTGGAAAAGACAGTATGAATGTAAGCGTCTTGCTAGCATTCCAAACTTATTCAGCAGGGCCCTCAGGTTGTCTAAAGAATCCCAGGTAAATATGATTGTTTTGTTTTATGCATTATATTATATACCGTTTAATAGATTCCTACATTGTGGTCTTATATACTTCTCACTAATACTTGAATATGTATGTATATATATCTTAAAATTTTGTACTGGTATTGCTTACACTTGTAGAAAATGAAACGCGTTATGTGTAAAGATTGGGTATCCGGTCTAAACAAAGTATTTGACTGTAATATTTAGATGCGGAAGTCAGCGTTTAAAATGGGTAATATCTGTGGAATTCAGATTATCGCTCATTCTTCTCTGGTAACATAAATTTAAACTATTCCCCTTCATGGATTTCAAATCTTCACATACGGTATTACATTGATAATCTGAGTTTATTTTATTTTATCACATTTATTTAAAATTCAATGAGAGGTAGACTTGTCACTATTACTTTTCACCTTAAGTTGGAAGGCTAGAGTTTCGCTGCCCTATTAAATCCAAGTTCATGGACTAGTAAGGCATAGAGTGGCAACTAATAACCATTTCAGTACGTAATTTGGAAGGACTAGACTACGGTTTCTTAAACAACTTCGCAGGAAAAAAGAAACTTTATACAAATCCAAAGACAAGTTAGGACTCAAAAAGATTAATGCTCAGATCAAATCTGAAATCAAAAATCTTAATGCTATCTATAATGATACACTTTTATCATGTAAATCCCCAATCAGTATGTGGAAACTTTTTAATGAAATTACTGGTAATAGTAAGCGTTGTAATACTTTTCCCTCTTATGATGTTAATGCTTTTAATCAGTCTTTTATACGCTGTCCTTCTACTTTAACTACTTCTAATGTTACCTATCATGTTATAGGTTTCCAGGCCGTAGGTGTTACGAACTTCCTGAAATAATTTGAGCGCCAAGTCAGATTGATTCATTATAAATTATTTAAATTAATCCCAGCGTGTTAAGAAAATCAAAACAAGATTTTCTTAACACGCTGGGATTAATTTAAATAATTTATAATTACCTATCATGTAGCTGAAAACTTTCATGACTTTAATACTCTCGATTTTCTAAAATGTCTTAAAACGCTCAAGCCCTCACGTAGCCATGGCCCTGATGGTATACCTGCATATGTTCTTAAACAATGTGCAGATGCTTTGTCTTCTCCACTAACCAACATCCTAAATGCTTCTTTCTCCAAAAATGTCGTACCTGATGCATGGGAAGTAATTAAAATTGTCCCTGTCCCTAAACCTGGAAACGGCAAGAACGTAAAGTTCAGACCCATTGCCATCACTTCCCCGTTTCTAAAGCTTATGGAAAAACTAATACTTCTCAAACTTGAACCCTCCCTTAAAAACTTTGAAGACCCCAAACAATTTGCCTATAGACAGGGTAGGAGCACTTTAGACGCTGCAGCTGTCTTACACAACAACATCGTCTCATCATTAGATAAAGGTGCCAAGTACGTCCGCTGCACGTTTCTTGACTTCACTTCTGCTTTCGACTCTGTTCCTAGATGTCTCCTTCTAAATAAGCTCTCTTTGACGAAAACTGAGTCCTGGGTCACTAACTGGTTGCATTCCTACTTCTCTAACAGAAAGCAGTACACCGTATACAAAGGTAAATCATCCTCTGCTGCACTCACTGAAGCCGGAGTCCCCCAAGGCGCTGTACTCTCCCCACTTCTCTTTTCTTTCTTTCTACATCACTTACCATCTTCAAATGACATTAATTTTGTCAAATACGCTGACGATCTGTCTGTATCTTTGCCTATCAAATGTCAAAGCGACTGCTCTAAACTTAATGGCTTTCTGTCAGAAATCAGCCAGTGGTCCAAGGAAAATGGTCTTACTCTAAACCCCTCCAAATGCCAAACAGTCAATTTCACCTTTAGGCATAAATCCGACCTAAACAAACTGTTTGGCTCTCACGAGGTATGCAACATAGACGGCACTGAAATAGAAACCAAATCGGAAATTAAATACCTAGGTGTCATTCTATCTGCTGATCTCTCCTGGTCGTCTCATATCTTAGCAATTTCTAAGAAAATATTCCGTCTTACCTTCTACATTAAGAAGTTAAAACATTCTGGTATTACCCAACCCTTACTCCTACGATTCGTTAATTCTCGCATCCTGCCTATTATTCTCTATTGTTCCCCATTAGTTTTTCCAGGGCTACTGAAGAAAGACTACAACATATTACGCAGGATGTTAAATGTTGTCAGCAGAGTAAGCAACGTGCCACTTAACCAGCTTGTTAATATTTTGGTTGACAGGCACATGGACTCATGTGAAAAATGGGCCAAATCCATTTTATCTAACTCACGCCACCCTCTTCACTCACAACTCTCCCCCTGCATCTCATCAGGTAAAACCAGAAGCCAATATAGAAAACTATATGCTCGCACCAGCAAGTACAAAAACTCAACCATACCCTACTTAGCTCGTGTTCTGTGTGATAAAGAAAGCATTAGGCGTGACACCTATAATTCATTAAATAGTCATTAGTACAACTGGATCTCATCTTTCCAACCCACTTCATCAATAGGTACAACATTTCCTTTCTTTCTGTTCCTTTTCTCTCTCTTCTTTTTCCGTTATGTGCTGCTTTGTCTCTTTCTCTCGCTTACGCCAGTTAATAAGACAGCTCCCACTTTTCTAACACCTTCAAACACTCTTTCAGATTTACCTTTGCTACTGACATGCCAATGTATTGTTGTAATAATGAACTGTGGTTTCCTCAATCTATGTAGAGTTCTATTTATTGATAATGTACTAACTGGATGCAATACTGTAGTAAAAATGCTGAGAATTCCATTCTGTATCACAAGTACTGTTTTGGAATAAAGCAAATTATTATTATTATTAAAAATATGTACGAAGTGTTGGTGCAATTTATTTTGGCACTGAACACTTGCTAAACTTGCTAAATAAAGTCTTTCTATTGTGATCATTCTATCAGCATTAATAAATTAATAATTCGATGGAAAAACTTTTCACCATTGGAAGGCCTATTACTATCATTTGGAGACGAAAACCTATTTCATTTGCAAAATACGAAGGAATGAAATCCAAACTTTATGGGGAATTATAATCTTAACAGTAAATTAAAAATATTAGGTTTTGTGAAATCTCCTGGTTATAAGTGTTTGAATTTGAAACCAAATCGACAGAAGTCGTCATTGATTTCGCTGGATTAGTTTTAAAAAGGGACATTTACAATTTGAATAGCTTAGTAACAGGGCTTTTAACCATAGCACATCGACTTGTCCACGAATCACTGAATGATCATGTTCTTCCAGCTTACAGGCAAGAAACCCAACTGTGAGGCTTTTCACTTTTCACCTTTAACAACATACAGGGAGGCGACTTTTGTTGAACTGTTATTAATTTACCACTAAAGTGCAGCTATTTTGGCACAAATTGTTTGGGTTACTATTTGAACAGCAGTCATGGAAATCAGGTGGAAAAAGCTTTTTATGTTATAAGGTAGTTATATACAATAACAGTATGACTTATCTGGTTATCTTTTTCATAGGAGAAAAATCTTGGACCAGGCCGCTACGACATTTCAAGAGAAATACCAGTTAAAGGAGCTTCTAAAACTATTGGGCCCATAAACACACGTGAAGTTCGTTTTCCAGAGTCAAAAACGGTAAAACCAAAATTTGTTCCAAAACTGAGAAATTACAGAATAATAATCCTGGTGTGGGTACGTATGGTGTAAATGGTGATCCATATATTTATAAAGAACAAATGGAAGCAAAACACAAATCCCCTTCGTCTAAAGGCTTATTGGAATTGGGGGGAGATGGGAGTCGGTCTCTTCCACCTGTGGTAATTTGCCTTAAAATTCGGAATGAGCTTTATGAAAAAGGGATGCCATTTAGCACCAGGAACGTACGAAATCAGCGGATCAATACAGGATTTACTCAATAAAAGAGTAAGCACTCGTGGGCCTTACGATCTACTAACCGGACCAAGAAATAATGAGAGTGTGAGTCAACTAATGGATGATACCAAATACTTCATATATTATACTGGTGATGGAAATTTCGCTTACCAGGAGAATAGTGGAAGAGGAATTTCTAATTTATTCTTTACGGTTTTCTTTTTTAAGAAATGCATAACATTTCGCCCATAAAATTTGTTTCACTTCTTTTTGTTTGGCATCTTTAGAATACAGAGATGAGATTAGCCTTATATTAGATGGCTTTAAAATAATCATGGTAATTTCAGATCACTTGGGCTGTAAAATGATAGTTTTAGGGTGTGATGCAGAATTCTGGCTACCGGTTATCCTCAGTAAATAAAATAAATAAATTATGTAGTTAAGACACAAAATTTTTATTTGTAAATCACACACATACGTTATATTGTCTTTGCTTACTGTCATTATCCTATCAGCTTCCAAGCTAGTAGAACTAGTAGTTTCACTAGAGTAAGAAGCAGGCACTCTTTTGTCTCCTACCATCTGGCTTTTTTTAAAAACTACTTATCAAACACAGTAACGTGTAGAATTAGATTATACCGGAAAATGTTCAACTTTATATGTTAAAACGTATAAAATTTAATCATAAATGCGTCGGTAGCCCAGTGGTTAGGACTCTCGCTGACCATGAACATGGTCCGGAGTTCGATCTCCTGCCGACGCACACCTGATATCTATGGTCGGCCTGCAAAATTTGGACTACCGATATCACATGCTGAAAGTTCCATACTTGTACCAAAAATGCAGTATGGAATCAAGCTATAATCAAAAAAAAAGATATTCAGTCACAGATGCTGAAAAAGTAAAGTATTGAGAATGATGACAGAAGAGACTAGGATTTCATTCTTTCATGGGTTGTTTTTAGACGATAAGCTTCAAATAGTTATGAGTCTATGAAGCAGAGTATAACTGCCGATTGCTCCCAACCATCTAATTTCATCAAATCAATGTATAACTTTTCCGTTGAACATCCGTCATGAGAAGTATACAATTCATTCGAAATGGGCTTACTGTTTTTACTTGTTTTGTAATTTAGGTTTGAACAAGTGGGTTTCTTTTATGGTTCGAAGTATTGTTTCTTCAAACGTTTTATTGAATGCATATGCATATGGCATATTCCGAGAATATTTTCACCTCGTTGTTAGTGCATTAGTATAGCTTATTGTGGTCTTGTTGCATCTACTATATTCCTATTCATTCTCAGTTCTGAGCATTCTTATTGTTTGACTTTTCTCATTACACTTACATTCTTTTGAATAAAACTAATCAATTCTATTGGTTGGTTATTGGGGAGCAAACAGTGTCTCATATCAACTCCTTAGTAGCGCTGACTGAATTTCGCCAGTCAATCTAAAATGTGATCACCGATAGAGAAGACTTGGCATTATAATATGTGAACTTCTTGTGGATGCCTTCGACTATCTAATAATAAGTACTATTTTTAAAAATTATTCCTTTTTAATCACTTTATAAATGTTTGGGGTTTCGATTAGTTTGCAGCAAGTTGCATAACTTTACCTATACATTATCGAATGGATACACTTTCATATGTGCTACATTGTAAACATCAGTGGTTAAGTTGAAAGTCTTCACTATGTATGATAAATAATAGTGCAAATTAGCCAGATGGAGACGATTTAAATTCTAGACAACAGTCTCATTCTTCAGGAATTAAACTTCATAGAGCTGTACCAGAACTGATTTAGCTAGAATGGGGAAACAGTTCAAAGCACAGACAGTAATAACTGTCGGTTGCTTGCATGCAATGTATTCATTTATTTGCAATGCATGCCTCAGAGTAACAAAGTAATGACTCACTCATGGTCACACTATGATGCACATAGTGTAATACTGTCTCTCTCTCTCTTAAAACCATTTGTAATGTCAATTAGTGTGAAAAATTACCGGTTCTCAAAGAATATCGTGGTAATTCGTAACTAACTGATGACATTTTTGTTTGATTTTACTTACTCAGTATCCCTTAATTCAAAATTTACGCCCTTAACTAGCTTTTCGTTGTCACCATAGTACTATATGTCAGGACAAGCATATTTTATTATATTTTTTTATTTTGATTACAGCTTGATGCCACATGGTATTTTTAGGTACAGGTATGGAATTTTCAGCATGGATATCGGTAGCCCAAATTTTGCAGGCCGACCATAGATATCGGGTGTGCGCCGGCAGGGGGTCGAACCCCGGTCCATGTGCATGGTTGGCGAGAGTCCTAACCACTGTGCCACCGACGCAGAATTGTTGTTTAAATTGCATACGTTGGTTTCACTTTTATTCTGTGAAGTATTAAGATATCCTACAGGATTTGACCCAGTAAGATGCATTTTAGACAAAGTTGTTGCTTCTTTGTTGAGTATAAACAGATAAAAGTTGTTTAAAAAAATGTAAAAGCTTATTTATTTCAAGAGTGGAAAACTAAGTTGAAGTCCTCACTACCATCTAGTAGCTTAGTTTCTCGAAACAAGAGTGAAATTATCAAAATTGGTTAGTTAGCGTTTTATTTCAGTAATTTCAGATGAACAAAAGTGTGTAATGGCTGTCAAGTACCTCAGTTCCATACGAACAGTGTTATACAATTAATAAGTATGTTTTAAAAGAAAACGTTTGAATGAATTACATCCAGCTATTTCGAATTTTATTTATGCTTATTTTTATTCTCTTTATGCTCGTAAATTATTCAAGGTATCCGAGTACCCAGAACCTGGGACATATCCGATCAGTTCATTCACATCCGATCTTTTGAAACCTGAGAAACGATATGCTGGGAAGTTTCGTAGACTTATTGATGAAAATAGAAAAACTGATAAATTTTATTCAAGTAGTATGCAGAATAAAATAATTGCTTCCAAAGTAAGACTTGTTTTTTTTATTTAGCTACACATTGCCAGAAGTGCTTGTAAAAAAAAGTGATCAAATAAAAGTGATTAGGATGCCTTTAAAGTTTTCGTTATTGAATTCGAATTGAATTATATTTATAAATACATGTATATATTCTTTGCAAGGGTTAGTTTGTAAGGATTTGATTTGCTTCACGTTTGATCACGAGCTGATATCAGTTACAAAACCATTAGAAAATCAAGGAGTACAAACTAACTCTTGAAAACTACTTTAATTCTCACTATTGACTGGCTACAAGACGCAGTTGCCTGGAGTTCTACTGAGAAGTCGTGACCGGTGGGATCCACCAGGTCGAGCATGACGACAACTGATCTCCGCTGACATTGGCTGGTGGTTGCGCTAAAATCACGAACTGGAAGAAGCTGGGATCCATGGTCCATTGGATCGGATCCTAGAGGCTAAATTGTCTACGGGTTTGACCTGTAGTTGGAAGACCCCGAGTTCAAACCCTGGAGGAGTCCGAAACTGGGACGAAACAGCCGTCTATAACCCCTTGGTTTTCCAGTGATTATCTAACTTATGTCACCTCGTGATCAAACTTGGAATATATCTGTTCATCAATGTGCTGAATATAATTTTACTTTACCCTAAAATAGGCTGAGAGTACAACCTGTTAATCCTTAAAACATACTACTTTCTAGAGTTTCTGTTAGGATGAGAAGTGATGTATTACTACACATAGTTTACGTGACCTGACCACAGAAATACATAAGCATCAGATGTCTGGTTTACAGGTCACGTAAATCATAAGTCATAATCTATCTCCTTCTTTCCTTACGGTTTCACAATGACCAATAATTTATCATAGAAGAGTGTTTTATAACTTCAGTGGTCTAGCCACGACTGATCAGCAGCAGTGCTTCATATCCAAACTACGTAGTCCTAGACCCATAAGTTTTAAACTACCCGTCTATAGATAGCAACGAATTAAAATTAATTTTCTTCTTAAGCTGTGACAACTTGTAGTAACGTTATCTTGTAGGTTGTTTCAAAGTTTTCATTTATTTCGCTTACGAAGGTGTTTCAATTGAGAATAAGTTGTATCGGGTGAATTGAAATTATACTGGTTACAGGGATATTGAATTTGATGGTAAAAAAAACATCCCAACAATCCATTCATCCTGTACAAGGGCACACAAAAAATTGTTTGCGTATTTGAAATGGTTGGCTGTTTGCTATCAAACCTAATTGTTCCACTGTAATTTCAAAGGGTTTGTAAGCTCACATTAAGCTATCACAATAAAATAGTAATAGCCCTTGAAAACTCCTTGATAAACAGAGACCTTATAACTGTTCGTAAATAATGAGTAAAGCAACTCAGCAGATATTCTGAAATGGCTGATTTATTGACGAATCCATTTATTTAAAGAACCGTACACTGTGATCTCTATATGGTGTGATACTCATCAAGTATATCCTCACCGTCCAGTTCTTTCCAGTATAGTAAATACCCTTATGAAGGCTTGACTTTACAGAAACTGCTTTCTTTGCTAGGAGATGCTTATTCGATGGTAAAATCATAGTGACACACTTCAGCAACTCAGGGATTGACTTGCTACCAGGGAATAATCTCGTCGACTTAGAATATGCGGACGATATTGTCCTTCTAGGCGAGGATGCTGACAAAATGCAGAGTCTACTGAACACCTTGAGCAACAATCTTCGTATGTTTGGCATGCGATTCGCCCCTGTAAAATGCAAGTTGATGCTGCAGGATTGGACTTCACCGACCCCCAGATTAGAAATAGGAAGTGAAGTGGTAGAGCACGTTGATCGCTTCACTTACTTGGGAAGTACCATCAGTCCCACCGAGTTGATCTCAGACGAAATCTCAGCACGAATACAGAGGGCTAGGTTCGCATATGCCAGTTTACGCCGTCTCTGGCGTAGACGTGACATCCGGCTATCGACCAAAGGGCGTGTGTACTGCTCAACAGTCCGCTCCGTCCTCCTTTATGGCTGTGAGACCTGGCCATTGAGAGCAGAAGACATGAAAAGATTAGCTGTCTTCGATCATAGGTGTCTGCGTTCCATCTCCCGTGTGAAGTGGTATAATAAGGTGAGCAATATTGAGGTTAGGCGTCGAGTGCTAGGTAAGGCGGGGAAATCAATCGACGAAACGGTGAAATTACATCGACTGAGATGGTTAGGACATGTGCTACGTATGCCTAGTCATCGCCTTCCTCGACGGGCAATGGTAGCTGATATAGGGCCAGACTGGAAAAGAGCTAGCGTTGGTCAAACCAAAACATGGCACCAGTCAATGAAATCCCCAACAGTTAGCTTAAGCCACGTAGGAAGATGTAGACTTCCTGGTTGGGGTCCTCGGGACGATAAAAACCAATGGTTGGAAACAATTGGTGACATGGCTCAAAATCGTTCTCAGTGGCGCAGATGTATCCACTCCTTGTGACTAATGATTTCCGATGAAACTGTTTTGTTCTTCGTTATTACTATTCTTTTGTCTCACACCTCTGTTTACTGTCTATACTATGCACTTCTTCTACTTTCTTCTCTTGCTTTGTGTGCTACATGGAGTGTGGCGACTTGAACTGCCGCATATATGTGCAAAGTTCTATAATAGAGAAGATTTGTAGCTCAGGTGGGTGATTTTGGTGTGGTTGTGTTCTCTGAGCTGGATGGTTTGGTTGCGAAGCTTTCATTGCTCTACTGAGCAACATCTTCAGCGCATACTTCGATGTGAAGTGAGCTTTTAGAATTCTCTATGAGTTTATTAGTCATCTCTTCTAGTAACCTTGAACGTGATTGGTTGTTTTCGTGTGACATTTCATCCCCTAGTTTGCTTGTCTCGGTGCTGGCTGCTTCTTTGGTCTGAATGTCGTTAGTCAGTTCTATGTCGAAGTTCTATGTCGAAAACCGACCTACCGACCGAAAATCATAGTGAATAAAGATCTGTGTCCTCAACTTTCTTACTGTTGTGACGTGTAACCGATTTAAACTAATGTATTATTCTGTTAGATTATGACATAATAATATCTACCATTTAATCTCATGGAGTTTCTCATAAAAGTTGTTTTTCTTTTCGTGTGATAATTTTTACTTACTCTGAGTACACTTCAGTTTTCTCAATTTGTTTTAAAGTTGGGACCAGGTTATTACAATCCAAAATATCCGAATGAAGAAAGAAACAGTTTCAACAATCAAGCACCGTCATTCCTCTCGAGTTCTTCTCGTGACGCATACTCTTTATTTTCTGTTAGACGGGTAAATCATTTTGGTTAAATTTATTGCTCAAGTTTGTGATAAATAATGACTTTTACTAAAGGGATAGCTACGCTTATATGAAAGAGAAATGAATAAGTTGTTTCAGGCATGCAGAAGTTGGCCCAAGTTAGTTAGTTAAATAAAACTTAACAAGTTTAGTGACTGAAATCAAGAACTAGTCTCATTGAGACTTTGATATATTAAGTAGAAGGATTTCCTCTAGGATAATAGCCTGGAGATTTTGATGGTATGGTTGGGAATTTCTGTTTCTCAGCCTATCAGTCAAAAGTGAAAATGTTTGCATACTGTTATAGATGGGATTTCTTTGAACCGCAAAAAAGTCATAGTTAGGTTAGTTAAAACATTGATTTAAAACTGAATTCATCAAAGACATAAATGAACACTCAGTGATTACGGAAATAATCCATTATTTTGTGACTACTAGCAAAATGCTGCCCTATGATTAGGAGTCATCGAGAGAGACAACTATTTAGAACAACTTTAAAAATTATTTGTAATGGAATAATTTCAGCTCATTTCATTAGAATTTATCCTGTGAATGTTTCTATTCAAGGCTCTTATACTTTATTCTATGACTTTATCCCAAGCTTTTGAAATTCTTTTTCACTTTTTGTTTTTGGTTGACAATCCAGTAACGGTTAGAGGATTTCATCATGAGTTGACATTGATTAGAGAACCATTGGAAAACCCGGGAGTACTGGACAGCTGTTTCGTCCTAGTTTTAGGACTCTTCAGCAGTACGAATCCACCGGGGTTCGAACCCAGGACCTTCTGGTTACAAGGCGAGCTCGTATATCGTACGCTATATCGTGAATTGGCAGATGTTAGAATTCATGGGCCATTGGATCGGTCTACGAGGACGAAACAGCTGTCCAGTACTCCGAGGTTTTCCAATGATTCTCTAGCCAATGTCAACTCATGATGAAATCCTCAACCAAATCCCTACAAACCAATACTTGAATCTAGTAATGACCAGCTATGGAGTGTAACTGCTTACAATCAGTATTTAAAAGAGATGTTTGTTTTCATTAACCGATTATATGTGAGATATATGTTTCTGTCGCCTTATTTTATTAATTATTTTTTTCCCACACCATGCTTATTTTGTAGACTCCTGTAGGTCCTGGACGGTACAATTCAGATAGATATGACCAGTCTCGTTGTATTTCGGGTGCTATGTGCTCCTTTGATTCCAATTCATCAGCCCGTCTAAGTTTAAAGGAAGCTAGAAAAATAAGGTAACCTTTTGTATGCATTTTGTTAGTGTTTCACTAAGTCATCATGAATAATGTGAGTAGGTTAGGTTAGGTGAATATTTAGGAAATTGTTGGGATAGAGTTTCATCATTAAAGGCCTGTGACATATGTTAAGAGTTTGAATGTTAGGCCATGTTGAACTGTCTATCACAAACCTTCATAACAGCTTCTTGCATAACTGACTAAACCAACTGAAGAAAAAACTAGTCATTCGTACTTGTAAAATAGTCGTCCACTTATTACTGGAGTTGACTGTATCAATGTAAGCATGAAAAATCTAATTTATTTTTGAGCTTATACCACATACAGTCATGTTTAGAAGACTAAAAGCATGAATTCATCAGGAAAGTATAACTTCAATCAAATGATTGATGTCAATAGTAGGCAGGAAATCTTTCTGATCCTGTACTTGCAACCCTCCGAATATATATAACCAAATTGTACGAATCAAAATTTTGACATGTGTATGAAACTGCACCTAATTTATTTCAGGTGAAGTATAGTCAAGGCTTTTCTTTTTAGAAGCATTACGATCGTGTTTTGAACTGCTAACAGAAAAAAAATGAAGTGAAAATAATTATTATTATTGCATGGAAATACTTTTAATATTGATTTGTCGTTTTCATGATATTTGTTAGTGAGAGTGATGAAGACCTAATTAACCACCAGGTCTTGTACAGCAGCTGGTAGGTTGCCGTGATAGCAACCCAGAGGATGATAGTTTGACCAACAGTGAACAAAGTTTTCCTTTTACCTGCAATCATCGATATGTGTTCGCGACTATCTTGACAAATCTTTAACCCAAATTGTATTTCTGTCATGTATTGCTTAGTCACTTTGTGAACTTAGCCATTTATTCTGTTATATATATATATATATATATATATATATATATATGCAATGCAACGAATTTAATTCACTCTACAGGGTTTATCACTATAGAAACATTTTGTATGTTATATTCAGTGAAGAAAATTTTCTCAGCAAATTTAATTTGAAGTTTAGCATATCAGTATGTGAATGAAGTTTTTAAAAGTAAAACCCATGGGGATATCTAATCACTGAATGACAATTATAGTGATAAAAGTATCTCAGTCGTAATTATAGTTAAAAGTGAGATGAAATTAAGTTACGTAATACGTGGAGCTGTCCTTGGAGTGTCAGTTTAGGACAAGATATAAAACTAGTTGTACTGGTAAAGCAATAATTCATTACATAAAACACTATGGAATTCCAATATTTACAATCTGAAGCTCAATATTTGTATGCAGCAGAATTAGATGCGGTCCCTAGTCTTACCTTAATATTCCCTTTTTTGTTAAGTGACAATAATTAATATTAAAAGTTTCGATTGTTGCCTTCTTTTTACGGGATGAATTTTTCAGAAATCAGGCATATAATACGTACAGATCGATAGAAATTTTCTGTATGATCTGTTCATGATTTCTAAATAAGCCTAATTGGGTTATCTGTAAAGCTTGTTTCCAGATGACTAATCAGCGATGCCTCGTATGTATTACTTAAGTGAAAGTTACTACCATAATTTTATACAGGAATATTCTAGTAAATCAACAAGTTACCGACTGAGATTCGAACCACTGTATTACATATCAGTGACTTATTTAGTTAATTTTTTCCGATTATTAGGTTTGTTAGGTCAATACTTTTGTGAGGGGTCTGTGAGTTGATATTGATACAGCACCACTAAAAACTTCGACGACGTGGACAGTTGTTTCATCCCCGCCTACAAATTCCAGTATTATTTATTAATAGATTAACAGAAAACGCAAACCAAGACTTGAGTTTCAGGCAAGTTCCTTAAAATCTGATGGCATATAGATATTTCATACAGTCTGTGGTCATTAGTATTCATCAGAGTTGAAGACAAGAGCAGTTACTTCTAGACGTCATTGAGTCTTTAGAGCATCATATTACCTATTGTGTTTGTTTTGTGTTTTTACTTTAAGCTAATTATAGAGAATATTTTAGTGAATTTGAAGTGCGTTCTTTATTTTAGAGGAAGTAATTTCTTTAATTTGTAATGTGAATTTGTACACATCTCTCTCACGAAAAGTATATCAGTCTACAGACTAAGCTCGCCTGGTGACGTTAAGGTTCTGGTCTTGATCCCCAAAGGGGTCATGGCTGTGTGCAGAGAAGAGCTCCAAAATAGGACGAAACAGCCATTCAGTACTCCCTGGTTTCCACTGGTTCTCTAACTGATATCAGACGCTAATAAAGCCTGATCTGATGCTCGATAGCGACCGGCTACACGACGAAGTTGCCTGGAGTTCTACTGAGAAGTCGTGACCAGTGGCGTCCACCAAGTCGGGAGTGAGGACAAATGCTCACCGTTGATATGGCTGGTGGTGGTGCTAAAAATTGTGAAATTTTTTTACTGAATACTTCAGAAGTTATACATGAAGTAGTTAAAAAGTTTTCATAGCATACCTTTAGTAGTAATATGAAACTCTTTGTAAACAACACCAATTATTTATTTTACATAGGAATATATTCAAGGCAAGTTTTCATATCAAAAATCTTAATGCAAGATACCATGAAATCTTTTAGACGTTTAACTTCAGAATACTGTAGTTATAGGAGAAACAATACTCTAGAGAATCAAAGCATGCATACAGTTTTCAAAGTAGCATAAATTATGCTTTTTCTTATAGGCTTAAGATGTATCTGTAAAAGCTAGACTGTCTGTTTTTATTTGTACTATGAGCTTATATCAGAAACATGATACGATTAATGGATGTAGTGGTACCCTACAAAAATGGAACCGTGACTGATTTATGATATTTCAACTTTTTTCACGTCACTGTTAACCTGTCTCGTGTTTCATTATACTTTCAGAGAACGTCTCCGTCCAATCAATGTACAGGTTTGCCAAAAATCGAAGTTCAGCAGTACAAACCCACGTACGATCCCACTGATAGCATAGCAGTTGTTTAAAAAAAAATCAAATGTAGTCTTAATTCTAGCTATTTTGTTACTAATTTGTCTATGCTACAGAGTAAAGTTTGCATTGTTTCAGTTGTTCTTTTTAGATAAATGACAACTATGGTTTGAACTGATAGTAATTTCAATGTTACTAGTAATAATGTAGCTCCAACGCAAAAAATTAAATGCCCATTTGACTGTATGAATTTTTTAAGCAGAAACCATGTTTTAATTATTACTTGGAAGAATTCACTCCTCTTACCTCATGAGCCCAATAGATAAGGTAAATTTGAGAACAGAATTCAGTATAACAAGAGCTTATCTTTCACGAAAGTCATTATTATTCTCTATATTTCAAAGAAAATTCGTGTGTGTGATGTTCAGCCGAACGAATCCATAGGAAGAAGGAAGTATCTTGATTTCCATCAACGTCTTTTATAGTTGCGCTTATGCCCCAACCTATTGCAGTTCGAAATATGTGAAGTAAGAGTTCCCTAAAAACCTGTCTAGTTCGCTGCTAAAAGCGAAACTCTTAGATATAGTTGTTTTAGCAGGTGACTTCATTGGTCAGTTAGGGGAGCTGTACCAGCGGAAAAAGTATATTGTCGTCACCCATAGAGTTCCATTTCTATGCACCGACGACGGTGATCATCTCCATTGATTCTATTCAGATAATAATCTGTCCCTGATAAGCACCTGTTTCAGGTGTAAGGGGGGAAACATTGCCTAAGGTGGTTACCTCCGTTATCAAATCAACGATAAACCTACATAGGTCACGTAGTTATATGCTATCAACAAAGAGAGTCAGTTGAAGATAGCCGCTCCGTTTGCAACACTAATGTGTGCCCATATAGACATAAGGCGGAATGTACATAGAAAGCAGGTAATTATGAACCCTGAAGCTTCTAAATTCTTAATAAGGACACAATTTATTTATTTGGGGGAGAAATAATCATACGCTTATCTAAATGTGACACCCTATCCAATCACCTTAAGAAACTCTGTTTACGGCAGCTTACAGCCAGCAACCATAGGTTAATAAATGCTGACGGATTTCTACGGCTTCTACAGAAATGAAAACACTCAAGTAGACAGATTCCCACAGGCACTGAACATGAACAGGAAAGAAGTCTGCTTGAATGCAAAGTGACTAAAAGTTTTCGCAACGGCAGAGATGGAGAGCCTATCAGGTGCATACAGCAGAAGAAATCTTTATAAACCAATATGGAAAACGGTCCTTAGAAATACTAGTGGCAAATGTGACTTCCAAGAAGAACGATACTTTAAATACTACTTAGGATATACTAGTGGAATGTTGGAGGTAATACTTTGAGGAGCGATTCGATTGGTTTACAGCAACGTCAAAGTTGCCTAGTACTCAATGAGATGTTGATATAGGTCCCCCAACTACAAAACTATCTTTTACCTAAATCAAGACAAAACAATGTAGCCTTATCGTATGACGCCAGAGATGTTTACGGATGGTGGTGATGAACTGTTGTTAACGAAGACACTAAGACATGTTTGGGAATATTCCCTTTGAACAGGTGTAAGTCATTGATTGCCTTAGTCTCTAAGGAAGACAAGTCTTCCTGGGATAATTAGAACGGAATAAGCTTAACCAACATAGTACTTAAAGTTACAGGTCCACTTGTCATATGTAGGCTAGTCTATTTCCTTGCATTAGTGTCCTGAGCTCGATTTTTCTCCTTTGTTCCATCTGGTGTCCTGCTGATCTCGTCTCTACTTACCTAATATGAGACTGTGATGAAATCTATCTGTTTCTCAGTGTTTTCATGTGACGAAAGTCACGTCGGCTTTTGGATATTCTCGCCCTTATACACTGAATCATTATACTTGTAAAAGTCTGCAAACAGTTCTCTATTCTGTAAAAAATTATATTTGTAAAGTCTCAGCGAGATTGAAATGAGTAATTCCAACGTTTCGTTCGGCAATCTGGTCCGAACTTCTTCAGGGAAATTAATCGAAATTAACATAACATAGGTTTATATATAAAAAGGAACATCACTTGATTTGTAAAAATTTGTCTAATCATGAGTCATTCAAAAAAGTACCAACAAGTATAGTAAACAAAATTTTATGAGCTGTGATCAAAATTTGACCTCGGACTTACAAATATGGTTTACTTTTGTTAAACACATTAAACAGAGTGTGTATGTGTGTGTGGGTAAACAGATGTAAAACATTTCTTAACGTTTCCATAAGAAGATATGGACAGTCGAGAATTTTGACCAAGTATTAATAATTAGTGATACATATCCATTTTTTAATTTATTAATAAGAATTTCCTATGCATCGGCTAACATCACGCCTTCATGTCTGTTCACACTGTTACTATCTAGAATTTTATGGTTAGAGGTATTTTCAAAATTATGGTGTTTAGGATTAGAGTTTAGTAGAAGCACCCTGTCGAACGTTTTGCTTTGCCTTCTTTCTGAAGATTGAGCTGCTTTATTCGACCTACTGGAGTTGTCAGGTGACTCGACAGCTACGGATTTAGGATATGCATTCTGTTGCAGACAACGTAGAGTGAAAACACGAAGATTGTACCAGTTACACAGTTCCTTTGTTAATTTAATTCGATTGCAAAATAATTCAAATGAATTGTCGTCAAGATTTGACTCATGATTAGACAAATTTTTACAAATCAAGTGATGTTCCTTTTTATATATAAACCTATGTTATGTTAATTTCGATTAATTTCCCTGAAGAAGTTCGAACCAGATTGCCGAACGAAACGTTGGAATTACTCATTTCAATCTCGCTGAGACTTTACAAATATAATTTTTTACAAGTGTCTACTTCTCACTCGGCGCCCAAATATTTTAGAACTATTCTGTCAAATCTTGACGACAGTTCATTTGAGTTCTCTATTCTCATTCACTTCACTGAGAGCCTATTGACGCATTATGAGTTCCGTACCAATATTGTCTGCTCTCAGTTGGCCTGACATTTATATCATCCATTACGATTTTTTGCCGCCATTTATCTGTGGTAATATTCATTACTGCTTCCAATCAATTCCCAAAAAAAGACCTTCTTCATCTCCACTGGGTTCGCGTTGTTTGTAGGTGGGTAGGAGTTTATGATTCTAACTTTCCTTCTCCTGGAGTTGACTGTTGCTGCCATGATTCTGGAGAAGACTGATTTCCGTCGCTTGAGAGCCTTAGGTGCTGTCAGTTACATTATAATTTCTACACCATTAGTGTGCTCTTGGTTGTCAACTGGGTGAATAGAGTAGATTATTTTATCTCCTTTTTATGATGTGCAGAGTCTCATATTCATTCCACCTACTTTCACAGATTCGTAACACTTCTATACCATATCCTCATCAGACTTGAACACCCTATGGACATTCTATACCCTGTGCTTACATTCGCACTCATCGAAAAACACATCACCTGACTAGGTTTCTAAAGCCTTTTATTTGCCGACTTTATCTGTGTTCGACCTGTAGAGTCTCTTTGAATCAAGTGGGAAATAATTTAATTTTCCCCGTGCTTTGAATTTAAAGTAGTTATTAGGTGATTTTTAATAGGGTAGGACTCCTAGACCCAAGACTAAACCTCGCTCTTTCACGGGCTTTAGATTACTGAACCTAAGCTCTCAGTTCAACTTCAGTAGCGCAGAATACTAATTAATGCGTTATCGGAAGGCTTGGAACCTGCTTGGTTTTATGGAGTTTGTTCATCTGAAGTCTCACTTAGTCTTCACATGGTTGTTGACTTTTCAATAACAGGTAGTAACTCGGGAGATAATTTTTTCGATTCTCTATAACTGACGATGATGAACCATCTACACCAGTCTGATCGAATTATTTCGGAATACCATTGACTAACTTGTACCCTGGATAGTCCTCTCAGTAATTCGTCATTATACTTAAACATCTGTGGGATGAAAAGATCAGAGGCTTCATCTTCTCACCCTTTTATGCTGGGGTGGTTTTAGTAAACGTTGTAAAAGCTGCAGGACTAATGTTTCAACTCATTCAGATTGTAGTTAGGTGATGGAGAATTAATAATAGGGTGTGAGCTGGTTAAGCCGTTTCTGAAAGTGTTTTGTTCAAAGCTTCAGCTGTTTCTCAGTGGAAGTTACGAAAATTCCATACCTCTTGCATATGTTTTCGTCCAGCAGAGTTCTCACTGCTTATTTTCTCTTAAAGCCTTGACAAGTAACCGATATCACCTATTCCTTATGTCGTTTTCATCTTTTCTGTTTGTTTTTAATTGTGAAAGACTGTAGTGGGTTGATTTTTGAGCAGTTTTGCCACTCTTTACTTTCGGAGTGAACTGGGTTTTGTCTTCTTGCATCGAATAACTCGAATGATGCCATGAAAATCCACTGGTATTTAATAAAAAGTAGCTACAGGTTACCAAATTACTTCACTACTGTCTGCACAGTAGATGTCAATGAACGTGAACATTGAACGTTTGTTTGTTGGAACTGGCAGCCATTGGTGGGCAACTCGAAGGCGCGAATGGTACGATCGCGTGCAAGTTGGAAGAAGGCAGAGAGAGCACGAATAAAAGTACTTTATAACTTCATTTGTACTAAACATGTGTTTGTAGACTGTATTTTGTCTTGCTTTAATTGCCAAACAATATAAATTCGTTCAAGGAATACTGGTGTTTTGGATTTAAAGTTTGGACAAATACATAGTCATTGTCGGTTCAAAGCCTCTTCTTTACAATAGGAAATTGAGGCTAAGTTCCTTGACAGTAGACTAGATACAATTCTAGGCTTTTTCAAGACCTGTACTGAGATTAATCTCCATTCCTAATAAGACATGAATCTCAAATTTTCTTCGGATAGTTGGGAACTTCAGATCTATCATTATATTGGTGGTAGGATTCAGATTAGCTCTACATTCTCAAGAAACGATTGGAGCAGCATTCCAACGGTATAAAATTCCTTTTAGTTGAAATGAGCCGTTGAAATTATTCATCTGCTCCTGAAGCTACTCATTTCAGGAATAAAGGAAATGAATAATGCAAAATACTGAGATCTTTATTTATTTGTCATGTAGTCGATAGACAAGTATGATTAATCTCTTGATCTACAAACATGAATACTGGAAATGTATTTTTATAATGTTGCTCAAGTGTGTTGTTCGTTGACGTAAAGTTGCCAAGTCCTAATCAATGCATTCTTAGAAAAATATGCACAGGTGAAAATAAATTTTACTTGATCTCTGTGTTACCTATAAACTCTCAAAAGTAAGTGTACAATGGGTATTACTTCTAAAAGAAGGTGTAATATACTCCATATATAGAGTGGTTTTCATTATCATGACGTTTTGAAATTGCAGCCTTTTTAAAAACGATTATTTAGCCCAGTTCCTATCATTACTATTAGTTTTACAAGAGTTAGTGATATCAAAGATACTCGGAATTGCAATTTGAGGAATTTGTGTGACAGTGAACATGTTAAGCTGCAAATCTTTGTAACATTTTTTTTCACATTAAAGCCACAATCCTTCTACAATTAAAGGGAAAAAGGTTGACAAACAGTAATAAAATGAAATGTCTCTGAAAACTATGGTCGTGATTTTAATTTAATTTATTACATCTAAACAATGAATAGTCACAATTAATAGATAAAGAAAAATAAAGATTGGTTTCCTGTAGATAATTAATGAATAGCTCGAGTGTAGTTTTTCAGGAGGAAAACAAATCTTCGATTTTCGAGAATTAAATCTGTGTAACAGAATAGACATATGAACAATACTCATAAAAAAAGTAAAGAAAAATAAGGGTGAATTAAAATTTTTTATTAATTTAAAAACTCGAATTCTCCTACACTATTTAAAATTATTTATCTGTGAAAAGCCATGAGAAGTAAGAAGGACTGTGAAGTGGATGAAGGGAGAAATTCATGGGTGGATAAATTCAATTCCTGCATCAAACAACCTTCAGTTGTGCTGGTGACCCGAAAACTTTACATAAGATATCAGTGAACTTTTCAGCATAACTAAAACTGATATTTTTTCTAACCAAACACTTATTATTTTTACAAAGATCTCGCATATTACTGATTTCTGAAACACTACCAAGAAAGGGTTTACTAGTGATTGCTGTTAAATGCAGAATTACCATGAACCATAGGACTTTAGACTTTCAATTATAACACCAAACGGGAAATTAATATCTGTTAGTTTCAACTGGTTTTTTGTGAGAAGTCATGATTATACATTATTAACCTGCTATGAATCGGAATAATGCAGTTATCTATCATTTCATTGCTTGCAATCGTGCCTCAGTCAATGTTTGTTCTTAACAAAAAAAAATACAGTCAGTCGCTTTCAGTTGGTCATTGACAATAGATAATAAAATGAATAAGAAAGTGAGATGAAAAAATATGTTAATCTTTACGTCAATTTCAGAAAAATCTTCTTAGTTAATACCGCAAACTCTTAACATTCTGTCAAGCATGGTGAAGTAATGCGAAGTTTAGTCTTCTCTTTTTAACTCTGTTAGCTACATGAAGTGGAAGCTTAGATTTCTAGCTCTGCTCTTCATTATTTAATGGTCTATTCGGCAGCATGAAATGTCTTATTACAAAATAGGCAATACACTGTAGAAGTTCGTTAGCTATATAAGGATGGTTCATAATTAAGCTGGGGCTGAAAGTACCAGTTCATAGTCTCCAAAATTAAATGGCAAAGCCAGTTCTGAATATTCTCCGTGTCCACTTTTTTGAAATGCAGTCAACCAAAACTGAAATAATTAGATGAACTTTACTTGGAGAATAAAGTGAAATAATTCAAGTCAATTAGAGATGAGTTTCACCGTGAAAAATATCAACAAGCGAAGAATCCCTTTTTTTGTTGTTTTATTTTTCTAATCAATCTAAAAATAATACCCCATCACCGTCGTCATGATAAACACTAAATTTCAGAGGGATGAACTGCTTATACATATATTTCTGCTAAAAAAGATACGTTAGTTATCATTTTAAAGATGTTTACTTAGCTAATAAGTAAATTTGAAACAGACTTTATGAACAGTTTTTTTTAAAAACTGCTTTTCAATTACTCAATAGCTGTCTATTTGACAATATACACTGATATGTTGACTGACTGTCAACCTTTTCACCAGGGCGTAATAAGGATAACGTCAGTTGAATGTGCTTCACACATTCAAGTATAGGCTCACAGAAGTGAATTGTAAAGAAACACGTATTCACTAATTGAACATTTTTATAGAAAGTACTTGAAATGTGCCTATGAACTCAGTTCCGAAAATGGTCTTTTAGGGTACATAATCAAAATGATAATATAAACTTCAGTGCAAACTCTTTTTTGATGAGTGAAATTCCCTAGGATATGAGGAATAATAAAACTGAATAAACTTCAAAGTCGCACGTCCATTCTCTTAAAATGTTTAATTGAAAAAAAAATGGAGGAATGCATGTAGTTCACCTGACAACAAATAGGATCTATGGTTTTTTCTATGTCTAAATCATTCTGTTAAGTGTACTTCTACTTATCTTCTTTTTCTTCACGAACAGGTGAAACCTGTGTTAGTGGAAAAGAGCAATAAATTGCATCAATTAGGTATTACGAGAACTTTGCTTATTTCAAGAATTTCTGTTATAAGTGTGAACAGTTAATTTTTGACGATTTTCCAGCGAACTAATCAAATGACAATAAAATTGTGATACCTAAGACCAGTTATTTACACCATAACCTCCATACTTTATTTCAAAACTCCGTTTTGTCAGGTTTACCAGTTAACTTCTAGGTTAACAGTTAATAGCTAATTTAATTACACATAGCAGGAATGGTTATAACCTTGTTGCAGAGACCTACATATAATTGTATGAGAACACTGAGCCAAAGTGAAGAAGAGCCTCCAACATTAGCTATCAAGACGTTTGATACTGTACAACTGTTACACTCATTCTTTATGATTGCGCCTATTTGTAATTTCTAGATTCTTTAAGTACCAACTAAAATTGATCATTACCAGCCGTGAATACTTCATTTCATAATAAAGAGAAAGTAAAAATCAGTTTAACAGTGGAATACATGCTAAAATATTTCACATTCCATCACTTACAGTTTTCTTTGCAGATGAGATCAAAGGGTTAATAACTGGAGTTTTCATATGCACCAATTCATGTATATCGTGTAGCAACAGCTTGAAGTTCTTGTCGGATGGAGACTTATCCACCCAAGATTTATATATTACCTGTAGTTGAAAAAAATATTATAATATAAAATAATAATATTACTGGTGCTTATCCAAATCTGTGCATAGTATTAAGGGAATTGGGGACGAAGTCAACCTGAGTTCTTTCAGTAATTTGGTGACTGGATGGTGACTAACAGTGGAATCCATGATGCTCATTTAGTCCTATTTGGGACTTGATCGCGAATGTACCAGTATTCCTCCAATGAGTAGTGGTCCTTCTAGTCAGAGATGTTTAAAAATGCTCGGAAAACTATGCAGAACTGTCACTAATGTTGACTATCAGACTTGGAGGTAACTTATAATAAAAGGGTTGAAAACTGTTCATCACTGTGGCGTATTTATTACGTCGTAGTGAAATCCATCTGTAATCAATTTTAGTCATCCTAACTCTGAATGAAATCGTTTGGTATTCTTAACAAAGCCGAAGTTCTCTTTCATATGTACAACAGTGATAAGTGGAGTGCGCCGAATATTTGCCACATTATATGAAGAACTGTATAATCGTACTCTGATTAACATTTAGTAGAAAAACTTACAGCTAATCTTTTGTCCTTTTTTATAAATGAATCCAATCCCCTTTGTAATACAGTAAGGTCTGTTTTTAATTTACTGATATCACTCAGTTCTTCGACAGATAGTCGCGAGTATCGTCTTGTAGATGCTGAATTGGTATAGGAAGTCTTTAAGAAAGAGAAAGAAAGAATGACCTGAAAATAATTATGTAGCAGTTAGTCAAACAGTTAAATCAGACAAACTGTAAAAGAGTATTATCGTCTTGTCAGTGTCACGAAATTTTAAGGGTTGGATATAAACATCACTGAGAAATATTTTTTTTATGAATATGCAAAGAAGAATCAGGACAATATGCACTGATCCTTCCCATTCCCATTATTTGCCAGGAAAGCACTGGCCACAGTAGTAGTAATACTAATAATATAAGCAAAGGTGAGACACTGCAAGATTTGTTGTCAAGTTGGGAAAAAAAGTCACTGATATCGCCCTCGAATGTGAATTAACAGAAATAAATTTATCTGTTTGGTTCAAATATGCTGTCGATTCTTCAAAACACTTCTACCTGTAGCTTTGGAATTTACTCATTGCTAAGATATGATTTTGAAAACTGTAAACCGATTAATCAAAGAACTGTGAAGTGAATTTGTTAAACAACTAAGCATCTGTAACATTTGTATCAAACTGATGTAGTGATACATGCTGCCTTATTCATGCAGCACTACTTAAATTTCCAATTTAAAGCCTACAGTGTTTACTTTCCTTATTGGCTTTCCCGGTAGGAGACTTTTACAACTGAATATTTGTACTAAAAATAAATATGCTTAGTAATTTAACATTATTCGCAAACTGCATTTATAACTATAGATTTCTTGTCAGTTTGACTTTCTATTTAAGATTATAGGTAAGTCATATTCACTTATGACGTCACGAAGACTTGAAGACAGTGCCTGCTCAGTTACTGACAAATTATGAGGTAAACACATTTTCTCAGGTATAGAAAATAACGAAGAAAAGACGTTTCAACAGTTGTAATAATGGGAATGCTCACATAAGACTTTTGTAGCCAGCGTCGAAAAAAACAATAAACAACACTGTCTTTCTGTCTAGGTTCATGTAATAGTTACCTGTCTTTTGCTTGTATGGAGACTAAACATCGATAAGTTTTAACTTTGATTTTTTTTCAAGAATGCGTGAAACGCAGTTCATGGGGAACGTCACACCTCTGTAGCCGCATGTGTGAAAGACAAAAATACATTCATTTATTTAATCTACCTGGTATATACATAGTGTTATGGCTTTCATACTCAAAAACAGAAGCTTCAAAATGTCTTGGTAAATAATTTTTGCTTATTTCTAAAAACAGCTTTTAACACTAATAACCAGTAAGATTTGCTGATTTAAAGGTGTAGTTATCATATTAATGAAAATTTGACTCCTGATGCGTTAACAAGATAAGCGTTACACCGCTAAAATTTTAAGGGTTCTTAATATGCTTAAAGTTATCAGTTGAGATTTTTTCAGTTTTCATCACGGATTGATATCAGTTAGAGAACCACCGAAAATCAGGGAGTACTGGGTATCTGCCTCGTCCTAGTTTGAAACTCGTTGGTGGTGTTAATCCACTGGGGTTAGTAGGCTACTGAATCGCGTCCCATTGGTTGAATAGTCTTCGAGCTTGCCTTGTAACTAGAATGTCCTGATTTCGAATGCCAAGGGAAACGTGCTCACAAAGGGTAGCTAACCAAACAAACCAGGACGAGACAGGTGTCCAATACTCCCTGGTTTTTACTGGTTCTCTAGCTGGTATCAATTAGTGATCGGCCTTGAAAAAAAATCAAATCCCTACTAATGAACTCCTGAATATTAAGATTTTGTTCTGGTTTATTATTTAAAAGTGCAAACTAGATGAGTAACAACCAAACTTCCATGACACCACTAGTCAAATCACAAAATTTAAGTTAGTCAAGGGGAAAATAGTTAACTTACATCAAAACTAGTTTTCGACTGTTTCTTAACTTGTGAACAGTACACCATGAAACATATGAAGTCCGTATTAAAATAATCCAAGTGCTCATGTGTAATTTTATCAATTGAGCATATACGTGTGTGTGTCTTCTTCATTCCCATCGAAGCTGCTGTCAACTCAGATTCCTTAAAGACACGATAGTATACTGTGAAATTCCGTTTCGCTGGGTCTGCGTTATATAAATTCAATGAATGTAACATGATCTAAAAAGAAGAAGTGCAAACTGATACAAAAATACAGATAAATACTAAGTTAAAAATTACGACATCGATATTATCATTATTTCTGTAGTGTTATAAAGTAGTTGTACTATTGAATTTACTGCCTGTCAGTAACTACAAAGATAGCACTTATACACTGCAGCCTGATAACCTATTGTTTCAAATCCCACAGTAAGATATATCAAACTTTTTGTGCTTCGAAATTTGTGTGGCGATGCAGTTATTTCTTTTATGGCGTGAGGTTCCCAGGATCAAGCTTCCTACTTTTTCCGGCCTTAGGACCGGTAAATGAAGTAAGAGAGTGCCAGGGGTTGAATGATAGCATACTGTTCTTGTAACTTAAAAGTCCTATGTTCAATCTCTTGTGGAGTTTTGGACGAATCAGTTGTTCAATCCTCACAAGTTTTCAAAGGTTTCTATCCTAGTTCACTAGTGGATAACTATTAGGGGTTAAAAGCATTGGATTCTGGGTTCGCGTCTAGGTGAGAATACCATCATTCAATGAGGAAGCCGGTATATTCAGCCAGCGAGTCCCAAATAAAGCAAAACACTGCTAGCCATGGTCGACCAAATCACATCATGCTAATCTGTATTTACTATGGTCTATTACTGAACCATAAAACCTTTATTCTACCGGAAAAAATAATAAATTTATATTATGAAGGGAAAAATATCTTGGTATAGTTTAATTGGCAGCACTAGAATCAACATGAAGAAGTAAATCTTAACAGCTCTACTGTCTATCACTTTCCTTTGTACTCTAGAAAGTAGTATGAATTAAGTATAGAAATTAAGTTATACCAAATATTTCAACTCATTATCAATCTATGAGTATTATTCATTTCAACAGAGTAAATTCATAAACAAATTGAACTTATTCAGAATAACTAAATCATTTTTTTATTGTCTTTCTATCTTCTATCATCACATGTACTTGGGATATCTCTCATCTTTGGTGACAGAGTACCTGGAAATGAACTAATCAGTCAATCAATAAATTTATTTGATTAATTGTTAGTGATTGTGATACAACACAGTTTTCAAACCGATGCGGGACAAGATGCGCGCCTGGAATTCTTCTGATAAGTGCTGAATACCAACAAATGCAATCTTAAATAATAGATTATACACAGCAAGGCATATGCTATCCATTAATCTGAAAACAGTGTTTCCTGACTAGATTAAAGTTACCTGAGCACCTAACAGTTGCTTTATTTTCTATAGTTTGGTTTGTAAGGGTTAGTTTTATTTTTACGAGTTGATCACGGATTGACATCAGTTAAAAAACCATTGAAAACCATGGAGTACTGAACAGCTGGTTCATCCTAGTTTGGGAATCATTGGCATTACGCACCCACTGGGGTTCGAACCCAGGACCTTCCGGTTACAAGGCAAGCTCGTATATCATTCAGCCACTGGGACCCGATTCAATGGCTCATGAATTCTAAATTCTACTAATTCGTGATTTAGCGCGACCATTAGCTTTATTGTTAAATAATACTTTCGTTTAAAATGCCGAATAAACTATATCAACTGCAAAATAAATTTATGTAGTGAACGGATGCAAACATAGTTTAATTAATTAGGCCTCAAAACAGCTAAACGTTCAATGGTTGTCTATATACACTTGGAGTGACAGTAAGAACTTTTGAATGCTGGTAATTACAATTAATTTCTATCGCTCAATTCTGTTTTTACTCTTATTTTAGAACCAATATGTGTATAACTCCTTCAGTTTTATAAAGATTTTCCCTATGTTTCCTCGAAATCAGAAATACTCTGTCAAATCATTTCTGGGATTAAACACACATATTAAGAACAGTACAATGTAAACTGCTGAATGGTAGACAGGTGACTTGCAACCATCAACCCTGTTAATCGCTTTGATAAGGATTATACGCCTATTAAGTTCACTAGGGTAGAGAAATACCGAATATTGATTTGTTACAATGTAAACGGATTCACTTCTTCAGTGTGTATTTATTCACTTCGTTAACGATATTAAACACAAAGTATACGTGTTCACAATTTATCACATATCCTTATTTTGGTTGCATGTCAGTGTAAATAAAGCTTGATTTATGGTAGTTTTGGGTGATTACAAAACACATCATGATTGTCACCGAAATCAATGAAAAGTAGTTCATTCCATAATAGGTGTTTAGAGTTGCAGACTAGTATTACGTGTACGATGAGGAGTTTTTTTTTAGATAAATAATTTCACATACTAGGAGACTGAATTGTGCTCCATATTTTATTCGTTTCTCATTCCTCAGTGTTGTTGTCCTAACCAGATGACACCAACTGTTATGGTTAACGACTGTACAAATTTTAACAAGTTTACTGTTTTACCTAAATGTGTGCATGTATTCAGTACGGCACTGATTTTGAGTAAATTTAAGGAAATGTGATAGATAAAAACCTACCTTGAAGTGGAATGGTTTACCAATTAATTCTCTAGGATCCTCTATAAATCTGACTTCATCATTATCAACAGCTGCCGAAGATATTCCCGACTTTATGTTGGATGATGAACACGGAATTAATTTTGCATTAACAGTTCCTAATTCATCACCAACAAAATCCATAATCTTTAGCTGCTCATCTATATCAAGATGATAAGCCAATGCACGAAGAAATGCTGGAGCTATTCCAATGAATAAATCTTCCAAAGGCTCCCAGAATGGATCTTCTTCTTCAGAGTAATCGTCCATTTCTTTGTTCAAGTATTTTTGATACATCTCCTGATACAGACAGAAAGTAATAGTAGATTGAAATAGTCACTTGATTATGATAAGCTGATTTCGTGCAAGTGTTAGATGCACTTTATTCTCAGTTATAAGGTGGCAATATCATTAACTTAAGACTATTATTTCCAGCTGGGTGGTTGAAGCATATCATCAAGGGTACATGACAAGTGAAATAGTATTTTTGCTTTTCACGATTATGCTTACCTGTGCCTACTTCATAGAGTTAAATAGTGTGTTTCTACTCCAATGAAAATTCAAATTTAAATTATCTTGGAAGCAGAATTATGTGCGTACTTCCACGCGCTTGAAATTATAGTTTATGTATTCTTTCCCATTATTTTTTTCATTGATGAATGTATTTTAGTTTTGACTGAGTAATATACATGCAGCTGAGTGAATAAAACTGGGGATAGTTTAAATTTAATTTCAATTTAGTCAGTTTATGTGTACTTAAAACTTGATGTTAAGTCTTGAAAATATGGAATAATTCGTCAGTTAAAATGTTGGGAACATTTTTATCATTGTAGGAGAAATGTGGGGAAATAATAACTGTGACTTATTTTCAGAATACAGATAGAACTCAGTCATATAGTCAAAACAGATTTTTGTATAAAATGAAGATAAACTGAATATAACGTATCAGTTTTATATTACTTGAGTCAGATAATGTATTTAAATTCCCCGGTTGATTACTGACATATATATATTTATATATATGTAATCTAATAATTTCCATTGTAACATAAAGAACAAAATATTCAGCGAAGAGCCCTTTTCCAACGAATGTATTATCAAGCTGCACAATCGCACACATATATATGGTATTTAAGAAATTATATTCGGTGATGAAATTTAAACATAAATGTAATACATAGAATAATAGTAGTATGGGATGCAAATAAATGTTCATGACTGTAATCATGGTTAAATATCAAGAGGCAAAACAGTTAGTATCATATTTAGGATAATTCATAGGATGTATAGGTGTCGGGAGGGAGTGTATAATTTTAGGGTTAGTAGGCTAACACAAACAGTTACAAAACAAGGTGCAGAATTTGGTAGGATAGAATTCAACACTGTAGAAAATTTTTGGATTTAGAACGACAAGCGGGACAAGTGAAAACAGTTCAAAGTGAGCATAGTAATAAAAACAATGATGGTAATAATAATCGTAGTAATAAGTGAAAGGTATATAGATTAACCAAATAAAAAAGTCTATCCCTCTGCAACCAAGGTAGAGGTAGGGATTGTGCATACTTGTTTTGTGCACAAAGATCTGGCTTATATTCACGAATGGTCAAGACCTCCGCTGTCTTTAGAAGATTATAACGAAAAGAAAACGCGGCAAGTTAGCATGAACGCCATAAATGATCTTAAAAGCATGGTCAGGGTTGGTAGAGTGACAGGAGTCGATCAAGCGTTTTACAATGGAGCTTCTCACATCATTGCTTTCTCAGTTGGAAGGCGTTAGCTGATCCAGAATATATATTTATATTCGAAATAAACATTCCTTTACTGTAACTCCTGTCTTCTATCGTTACAAAGTAATAGTAGATAGAACAATAAAATATATAAACAAAAATCCTCTTCTTCTATCTTTTATTACTTATCAGTAGCACACGTAGCAACTTCATGATTAATGTTTATGGAATCACCAAGTCAAATATGATTAGCTTGACCTCTGGGCTTCTACTATGAACTCTAGGCAATTTCTTTTTGAAATCGTGTAATCGTCAAATAAGGAAATGTATTCTAGGTATAGTTGTCAGTATTAGAAGGTAAAAAACGTAGGAATAAGTATTTAGTCTTTACCTGCATTAAAAATCGTCGTGTCATAAACTTTCCTCTTTCCCACAACCACATATAGCCTGTCTTTGCGCACTTCATCCGAACCATCACTCTATAATTTGAAAAGAGGAAGTATAAATAATTTGAATTTCAAGCATCGCTACTAACTCTAAATGTTTATGCAAGTTTTTTAAACAAATAACTTAACTAACACCACAAATAAACTCACAATAATGAATCTACAGGCGATTTTACTTAAACTGCTCTCCTGCATTGTCTGACATCTGGGCAATGAGAAATGTTGATTCGATTCATAGAAGTAGATAAGGTTTTCTTAAGCGTGCCACTTAGCTTAATAATTAATAAGTGGAACAATAAAGTTAGGTCTGAAGACTGATGATGCGCTGAATGCAATATTTTAAGATAAATGTCAAAAAATTTTAATGGTGTATATATCTTATCGTCTTTTATTGGGATTTAACACTTACTACTATGTAATGAATAGACTGTATACGATAAGACAAATTTCAATAGTTATCCTAGACAAAATAAGCTTTTATGAAGTGTGATTCAAAGGAGTCCAGGATTAGACATGCACTGGACAGGTAGATGGAAGCTATTTTGAATGTTTACGACATATCTGCCACTAGAATGAGTAAGAGCTTGACTCAAATAAATTCATTCTCTAACTTATATGTATACATATGTGATTGAGTAATAAACTAGCATATCAATATACACTAGTTTAAGTTACTATAATTTCTATCACCATTCGAAAAAATATATGGACAGAAATTTAGCTATACTTCGATAGACAAATATGTGTACGAAAAGACAAAAATAGGTAATGACAAGCAGAGTTCTATACGTTGTCAGGAGTAAATACATCTGCATTTATGAATACTCAGACAATGGCTCTTAGAGTCTTGTAGTCAGGAAATCTACATTATCCTATATTATTCAGACTAATGATTAATGAATTTGTTGACTGATAACAGGTTCGGGTCTCATTTTAAAAAATTATTTTGTGACATGATGCTATTGTCGTTAAGTTTTCAATTCCGTTGGTGGATCTAAGTTCCTTACCCTGTACTGTATTTCCAGTAAGAACATTACCAACAAAATCGTTCCTCACTGAAGAAATATATAAATATACATACATTAATAGCAAAAAATTTGATACACACGTACTTTGTACGCTTCAGTTCACCAAATTTCAAAGATTGTGCAGTTGGTGGCAGTAGAATAACTTCAAATGTTCTCTGCTTATTCAGTTCATCAGCGATTGCATTTGCCTCGTTTATCAGGGGTAATAGTTCAAGCAACTCATTTTGTAATATTGCATCCTCTGAAATTTAAGTGAGTCAGAGACAATATAGCAAAACTAATGATTCACCACCATAATTCTTTGAGTGAATTAATTAATCATGCACTTGATTGGTTGGTAACATCGATTTGGGATTTTTGTAAAACTAATTCCACTCACTTTTTAATTATGTTGGAGATTGGTGACCATACTAGATCTAATGAGGCAACACAAAATAGGCAGTTGGTTTGACCATATAGATTAGACTAATTTGGGGTTGGTCCTACCATAAGGATCATAGGAAAAATGTCGATGACATTTGCGGTCACTGATTCACATTCAAAGTGTGTGTGTGTGGGGGGGGGAATATAATTTCCAACAATTAAGATTCTTGAAGAAAGCCTGACATAAGTTTCAGACCTCCTACTTATCAACTATTTACAAGTAATGCATTGAAAATGTTATAAAGTTACGTTCTTTACAAGTTATATATTTTAGATATGTAGTATGTGACCTACGTGATTTAAGACCATGATATTAACACTTCATTATCTTTAAGTAGTCACATGTTGCTAAATTCAAACTTCAAGAGATCAGTTTGCAAAAGAAGATAGTATTTTAAGAAAACATACAAACAAATAAAGTACTGTGACAGTATTATTATTATTGTGGGTCGGTGGTGCAGCAGTAGAATGTTCGCCAACTGCGCATAAGGTCCGGGATTCAACCATCGGCTGGCTCACTCCTTACCCTCGACTAACTGGTAGTAGATCCAGTAAAGAAGGAAGATTGAGCGTGAAGCTAGCAACCCCACCCCGTACAAGTAAAACCACTGCTACCGAAACTTCAGAACACTAGCTAGCTTGAAGCTCTATGTTCCACTCGGAGTGAAAAGGAATAAAATAATAATAACAGTAATAATAAATTATTATTCATAATAATAGTAGTAGCAAAAAACTGCAGAGTGAGGATTTCATTTTTGATGACAGAAAGTAATGTGAACAAAAATGAATGGATAAGCTTTGAACTAATTCCTCTATTGAATACTGTTACCATTTCTGTATTTTAGAAGCTTTTGTTTTTCACTGTTTTTTGATTTTACGTTTTTCTCAGAATAGCAGTCCTATTCCTGCGTTTATTTTTCGTTAGCTTCGCCAACGATGTAGGAATTATCTTTGCTCCTTTGAAAACGCTACTGTGCATATTATTTACATATATTTATAATTATTAAATATTACAGTTCCATTTACGTGGCGACATCGACTGTTTCATGTCGGGCATGCCTAGCACTCTACCAGGCTTCAATTCTTAATATCTTCGTATCAGCCGTTGCAACTCACTGATGTTCACCTTCTTTGCTTGGTCTCCTTTCTTTATAGTTTACAAAGATGCGCATTGCTATGTGACCACACATAATCCTGCTTCATTTGGGGCTAGCTTCTCCACCCTGATTCACCCTTTGGCCTGCCAACTCTAATGGCTTAGATTCCTCACTCTGTTTCTGTTTATTCTTTTAGTGATTACTTTTCGTTCTCCTTGTATATACTAAATAACTCGTTTAGCTTACTTGTTTATCGTACTGTATTACAATATTGCGGCTATGACCAAGTTGAGTGATATGCCCTCAGCTACGGTTTCCTACAATACACTAGCTAGAATCACTATTTCTTTGTTGCCTATTGTGTAGAGGTTCAATTTACTAGTTTTATCAATAACAGCTAATTCGTCGATTCCCTCTTAGTCCAGACAGCTTCTCCTACACTATGCGATTTTTTTCTGTAGAACCATGAGTATCAGGATGATAAGATGTCGTTATTATTCTTTTAAGACAAAATTCCTACACCTAATCCCTGCACTCATTGACCTTGAGCCGAGGACGACATGAATCGGTCCGCACCAATATGTCTGGATACTGTGGAGGTTACAGATTTAGTGAGTGTGTGTGTGAAATCACTACGGTATCTATCCGGTGTGTGGTGTGCTCCATTATTACCTTCAGCTATTACTTGTCTCCCACTGTTTAGAAGAAAGGGGCCACTGTGTATGTTTACCTTACGTTCCATATGGTCGTTACTGGGATTGACTGCAAATGTGATCAGAAGCACTTAACAACCCTTATACTGTGAGGATGTTAGAACACAGCCTTCAGTATCATCTCTCATGCTTAGTCGGTGCTTGCTTTAACTCAAAAAATCGTATGTTTCTGAGATTCCAGTTGTGGCTAACTGATAGCATTCTTGGATTAGCTCATGAGGTAGACACAGTGGAATTAGTTGTAACTTAAACGCACCGTTTTCTCGTAAGACTAGTAACATGTATGCTTTTGTTTTAGTGTGTTTCTTCCTAGGCAACATCACGAACTGCTTATCCGCTCTGAATTCACCGATTTCTATCCCTACACTTAACAACTCCCGACTAGCGTATCTACTCCTTCTTCTCAATATTCCAGAATACCTGTTGTAAAGGTTACCCTTCTATGATTCTTCAATGGTATGTCATGTTTTACCTTACTGTGATTTAAATAAGATGGCAAATTCCTCCACTGACTTGCTGATATTTGACACTTCTTTCTGAAAGGCTGTTTTTATCTCTGCTCCTGCTAGTTCACTGTTCTAATTTATTCAATTAAGTTCGTACTTCGTATTCACTCTGTGGTGACAGATGGTTGCTAACCAAATTGGTTGACAGTAATTGAGGTCAATGTTTATGTATCAAATATTAGTCAAGTGAAAACAAGGTCAAAGATGGACAGCAGACAGTTAGCATATAGATGAACTGACACAGCCACAAAGAGATGCAAGGTTAACCTTGTGTGCGAAACAACCAATCAAAAGACTATTTTCTACTAACATTAATCTACAATAACGTATATTAAAATCTATAAATATGTGTTGATTTTCCTTAATAAACGTTCTGTTGCCTGGCCCTTGTCTTCTGTTGTTACAACTCTACTATCCCTCCTATCAATCACCACGCTTAATTCCTTTGAAAAGTCTACTCCTGGTGACCTTCACTGTGTTTTGATTGGACACTAGTAACTACTGTGATGTGTCTAGTCCTTTCTTTGCTCCATGGCTTCCTGCCGATTGCCTCCAGCCATCTAACCTTCACTATGTATTTGATGTTACAAAATATGTTCAGATTATTTTATATGTCTCTATGGTATAGTCTAAAACTGGTGCAGTGTAAGAATTTAACGTTGAAAATGGGTTCCGTTGTTGTACAACTAAATGAAATGCTCCAATAATTGTTGGAGAATGAGAATAATTGATGATCGAATTACAGATATCTCGTTGGTGAATAATGTAAGAAATTTTTCAAGAGAATGAGATTATGAACCACAAATCTGACTGATATGCTGGGTCGTATATTTGTTTGTAGAAGTTCTGAATGCTCGCCATTTGCATGTTTTGATAAAAAGACCAAATATTTTAAATGGATTGCCTCAAAGTGTATCATCCTGCACTAGGAACGAAAAACCTAACACTTTACTGAGTATGCATGCTTGAATGTCAGTAGAAATGTTATGTCCATTAACCTTCCAGCACACAAATATTAAAAAAGAAAGCATTAGATTTCTAAGAGAATGTAAACTAGATCAGGAAACTGAAGCGGTTATTTTCACTGCTGTCCATGATATCAATGACAAAATAAATGATTAGTTCTTTGCGTATGCACTTTAAAGTAAGGTAAAGAGTGTTAGACTTACCTTTCTTTCTCGGTTTATTCCCAAGCTGTTCGAAACCTGTAGCCTGCGCTAGCTCACTCTGTGCAAATTCCCAATCAATAATCTCTTGCTCTTTACCAGATTTTAATTCTTCTGCAAATTCTTTCGATAGAGGGTTATAGAATACATATAGCTGATGAGAACCTGAAAATTAAATTAAAATAGGTTACATAATGAGAATTTATACAGAATTTAGAAAGTTTACTTTGAATTTGTCTAGAATGCTAATTAGGTCTGTATAAGATATTTAATATTTAATGAGATGTTCTGATTTCTTTAGCCAAACCACTAATTCTGGTTTCCAGCTACTGCATGACAACATTAGGGAGAATTTTAATTGGTAAATTATATTTAGTCAAAAATGAAACGGCCATCCATTTTTGTTTCCTACAATTTTTACAAGACTTTATAAGTTACGTAGATACTGAAGGTGCGTATACGATTACTAACTTAGTAAGTCGAAAATAGAACAAAATAACGTTTGATTATTTATACGTATTCCACGATTTTCATTAATTGATAATATTTAAAGTCACATAGCAACTTAGAACGGAAAGGTATTCTTGTCTATTTTTCAGTCCATTAAAAAGATAAAAGAGAATATTGAATGCAAAATATCTGTGAATATTTACCAGTTTCAGCACAAATAAAGTTGAATTAACACAGATTTAAAGTAGACGGGATGTTAATAAAGCCACATTATTGTATTTATTTGAGTTACTTGAGGGTTACATGCATCGGTGATTCAATGGTAGAATACTTGCTAACCACTCGGTTGGTTTGTGTTCGACTCCTGGCATTCCTAAACCTCGCTTAGCCGGGAATAAATCCGGTAAAGATGAAAGGTAGAGCGTACGGCTAGCAACCTCATCTTGTTAAAGTAGCACCACCACCGGTGAAACTCCACGCTGATACTTAAAATCCGATGTTTCGATCAGGATGCAGACGAATGAAATAAAAAATAGAATATGCGACTTGAGGATTACAGGAAAACAGTTTGAAAGTTAGGCAATTATCGTGATATGATTGTGCATAGTGATTCACTTGCAAAGTGGCGTCAGGTAAACAGCTGTGCATCTGTCTGTGCTTAAATGAAGAAGCATTGTTAACAAGAGGGTAGGAGCTCTTCAAATGCTCTACCTGTACTCTTACATTAAAGGTGAGTATAGAATATAACAAAATACATAATTCGAATAAGAGGTGATTCATACCAAATAATATTCGATCCTTATGTTGAAGTGTAACAGAATTCTTTATAGCAACACCATTTACTTTTGTCATCCTGCTGGCATTTGGTAAAGTACGTAGTTCAACCTCTGCACCAGTTCTTCCATGTCTTATTAGTAATGCATGTTCATCAGCCATACATAAACCTTTCATCTGTATCCAATGAATTTTCGATGATTTGTCATTCACCTGGGGTGGCTCACGTCCTATTGCAGTCTATAGTTGGAAATAGTCAAACAGTATGCAAATGTCTGCTTTCAAAGAATATAAGAGAGTTTGTAGATTTTGTTATAGAGGAGATGTGAATTATTACTTACACGACGTAACGCGCGAAACAAAATAAACGGCTTTCCTATTTACTTAACAAAATTATTCCATAGGCAACAAACTGATTAAAAGACAAAGAAAGCTGAGAACCACTTAGAGTTAAAGTTTTCATCTGTTAAAATGTTCGCACCAGCTTTTCAAACCAATTATTACTCGAGAGGATGATTAATTTTTACTGACTTTTTCCTCTACTTCTGCAGTTATAAATTCGTGAATATATTATAGGCTATAAGATTCAAAAATCAATTAACTATTAACTGAAATTTTAATCTGAACATTTTGCTTTAATACAGTGCAGGATTCTATGTGCATTTTACGGTAGAATATTTACTCCTTACATAGAAAAAAAATTCATGTCATATGGCACGACATTTCTCGATATAAAGCGTCTGGTATCTCCCTATGATATTTCTCTTTGATTTCCTTTGAAAGATACCTAGTGGTCGATTCAAAACTGTCGAGACATAAGAACTTAAGTACTCATTACGATTTGTAGACGCAGTTGAATTATTAAAACAGTCTAAAATAAACTCAAACAACTATTCTTCATTGATATAATTACTTTTGTATTCCTTATGACTCATCAAACAGCACCAATAGTTCGGGGACATAATTCCGCTTCTCTCTCCATTGTTTTTGTTCTGCAATTATGTATTATCTTACAACAAGATTTTAATCAAGATTTTTGAGTTTTTTTTTATTATTTTTTATAAATAGTGATCACACATTAAAGATATTCAATTAAGCTACTTATATAAAGAATAACACTACCTTTATGAATATATATTTATATGTTGAAGTATTCCGAAAACTGAAATCATCTTTAATAGACAGATATTATCTATCATATTAAACAATCACTTTGTTTGTAATTATTAAAAACTTCCTTATGTTCTATTGTAGTGATATTTTCAAAAGCATGTGCAAAGAATTTTGTATAGGACTGTCGATACCGACTTAGCTCGTATCTCGTTTCATGTATTTAATATGCGAAATATTCACACTTGTTAGTCAAAGATATCCTTATCTAGTCGGACTTCATAAAGACTATCTATGTGTTTTTACTATATGAAGAGAAGCTTGACACTTTTAAACAAAATCTAGGTTCAACATATGTTTGCCTAGCTAGCCACTGAAAAGAAGCTAAAAGTATTAACAAGTTAATTAATGTCCACATTTTTCAATAAACTGTTAAATTACGCATACCGCAATTCTTGAAATAACATGGATTTTCTCCAACTCCGCAGGTACATCTAACAGATTACTGATAACAGTCAAGTTAAATGTAGCATCATCAAATGCTGCATATGAATTCGATAAAAGATGTATAATCTTGGGAACTCATTTATGCCTTATATTACGATCTCGCGTAGTTCACTCAAGCTCATTTAGGATGTATTGACTATGTTTGCTTAAGTCTAAGAAGCAATATACTATGTAGGATTATTAACAAATCAGACATTTAAGAAAATTGGTGGTTATTATCTCTTGCTTACAGAAAAAATCTCTAATATACAAATTCATACCTGTTTATGAGAAAGAATATGAATTATGACACCAGACAGTTGGGGATCTTCATTCAGATTTGACAAATATGGTTTATTCTTTAATGCTTGGCGAGAATCTCCTGATTTTTTCTCAGCTGCCGATGTTTGCTGGAGTATTTCTAGTTGAGCTTGTCGTAGCTAATTGAAACAGTAAGATGTAAATGTGTGAAAAACTAAAGTAACACTCATCCATTCACAAAACAATTTTTGCAGACAGTAGCTTATGCTTTGTAATTTGATCCTCCTGCTCTGCCATTCACCCAACAGAAAGAACACAATGATAAAATCTCTAACCAACCAGCTTTGCTTCAACGCATTGCATATGTACAGAAATTACTGTCTATGTAATGATGAACTACATGTACTTAGCCAGTGTTTTTTGATTTATTAGTGGACACATAATTGTCAATATCCTCCTATAAGGAAAATAAGTAATCTCTCCTTTTAAGTAAATGCATAAAAGTAATAATACAAAATAGACACACTCTATGAGGTATGTCACTTTATTGACATTCTCCAAGCTTTGTGTCACAACGTCATCAGTTGCGACTCCACAAAATTACACCTTTAAGAAACAAATTGCTTGTGAACTGTTCACGCGTTAGCTTTATCAGTTGGTGGATTTAATTGTCTCCCATGTGAACTATGAGATTAACAGATTATTGTTCACTAACTTATAAATTATGTACTGTACTAAAAAACTCGGTATTACGGTAGAGCTACTGATAAGAGCCCAGTAGGAAGGTAGATAATCCTTTGCTTAATTTGTTGTTTTCTCAATTGTTCTCTGGTCAGTCACCTGGTGGTCCAGTCAACAGCATGAGCATAAGTGTTCACTCTTTGAATTCCGAGTGGAGCATAAGACTTCAGTAGCATATATCCATTACACTAGGTCCTCTGTCATCACTTTCAGATGACTGTACGACTGCCCGCAAGCTTTCATTTCCCCTTCACGTGATCTCCATTTTACCCTCGGATGTTAAACCCATCACCAGCCACATCTGGGACTCACCTAAGAACTTGGCGTCTAATCTCAGTCGATAATCTTCTCCTCAGCATGTGTTCAGTCATTTGCCGCTTTCTTCTAAATATTTTTTGGGTAAAAAACTTTTATCTGGTTAGCTGCCAGAGTTCCTTGTCTCTAAGCCATTGAGAACGGTGTCACGGATGTATTCACTCTTGGTGATCTCCATATCTATTAAGTCCTAATGTTTCCTCATGTTATCAGTCATTCTCTCTCATAAATCTGCTTATTATAGTGCTTTTGAATCCCTTTTTTTCTCTCTTTTGTCTGACTTGGTGTGCCACATAGAAGGTATGATTCGAATTGCCGCACTTCTGTGCTAAATTGTATGCTGGAATTCAGTCGGTTAGCCGGTCAGAGTTGCTTGCTGTAGTATGAACTTACAGGTAGAATACTACTTACAAAATAGTTTGCTTATTAATAACACAATTTCCAACCAACACTTTAGTATAAACGTTTTGGTGATTTATGTGATACTAAAGCTTGTCAGTTAAAAAGTATACATCAAAGACTAGTCTAAACAATCCCAGATTTTCCACAATGAAAATTTTTAATTGTGGTTAAAAGTATGACTCTCAATCACTTTTCCTAGATTTCTTAGGTGTGTATTTGAATTTTTTGTCAGGCTACGCTATTTACAGTAACTAACACAAAATTTATCATCACCTCTGTCCTAGTTTACATATTTCAAGTATATCCCTTATAATTTAGGAACTATTCAAAGCCCTTTCTAAAGAGCCTCTTACCAGTTTTATATATTTATTCATATATTCTCCCACACTGAAATGTAACAAGATAAATCTTACTTTCTCTTCAAATGCAGCTTGATTCTGAGCTTCAATTGCAGCTAAATTAGCTTCCATTTGTTCAGTCATTTCTTTTCTCATTTTTTCTTTGAGATTTTCAATCTCTGAATTTAATGGACAAGTGGCATATTAAAGATAGTGAACAACAACAAATACAAGTTTACGAAATAATAGAAATACATACCTTTTTGTGTAAGGTCTTTTACAATAACTGATGCAGGTAATTCCACAGAATTCAGTGCCTGTTTCAAACGTTCATTCTCCGCCTACAAATTGTAGGTAGCATAAAAATGAAATCTATAACGTATTTTTCTATGAACTAAGTTTATTAATTTATCATTTGGTTTAATAAAGCATATAACAAAATGGAAATCAAAAACTATTACATTGATGACATGAGGAGAAGAAATGAATTGATCTTACCACTCCAAAATAGCTCTACATTACAGGTTTTCATATGTGTATTAACATACAAAAATCCTACAGGATGCCCTTTTAGATGATACTTTTGTGAAGAGAGTGAGTGATTAAGTTACTGTTAAACGACTCCTTTAGAGTGAATAACATGGTGATATATTCTCTGAGTTTAACATCTGCCTTTCAGGGACATTCTTGTGTAGCTTTCTTGTGCCGAACGAGTGCGATATAATCCAAAATCCTAATCTATGTAATATATCTACCATTGTCGCCATAACTCAAATAGGAATTAGGAGGAATAAATCCAGTTGGGATTATGTAGCATTATGAAGTAACTCTGTACGTATCAAATGTTGCATAATCTTATAAGGTAAACTTCCACCTCACTCTGTTCCTAGTGGTCGAATGTTTTTCCAGTGAGGTGTTAATATGACACACACTCTTTATCAAAACCAAATGGATACCTGAGTGTTTCAAAATGACTTTTCTAAAAGCCAAACTTATTATCTTGATATCGTAAGGAGTTTGTCAACTGAGGTAATTCACAATGGTCTAGGCTAAAAGTATGTAAAATTTTCTATCACGATCCAGAATAATGAATGAATTCTGGTAGCAAACAACATTAAAATGAGTTTACAGTCATAGTAAACAAATAAAATATGGGATGAAGAACTGCAAAGGTCAAATAGCTGGTTATGTCAATGAATTTAATTAAACAAGCGTCATTTGACTTGTATTCTGTGACTAAGTTAACCATTTTACGTTAAAGACCCATAGCTTTGCGTCACACAATATACGATTGGCATTGACTACTGGTACTTAGCACAAATCTATTTCTGAATGTTGGATGTCCCTTTAGAAACTAGTCAAAAGTACACTCTCGAAGCGCTAAAATAAAGTTCAAATACTAGAAAACAGTAGTATTAATGCATTTGTGAATACCGACTCAAAACACTTAAGTAACTTGTGAATAAATTGTTTTGCCACTGAAAGACATAAATGTGGTGTGCATACTTACTTTCAGTTGACGAATTAGTGATTCCATAGGGTCTTCATTGATCAAGGCTTTGTTTTTAATTTGTTTCGCTCTGTCAGCATAACGTAATGTTGATAATGTTTCTTCATAATTAATATCAGCTGGTGATATGGCTGCTATCATGACTGTTTTACTAAAACACGATATTCAGAAAATATTTATTTAATCAGAGTTTGTGTCAAAAGTCATCATAAAGGTCGAAAAAAGTCTTGTGAAACGGACGAAAGTTTGTTAATTGTGAAGCCGAAAGTTACTGCCTACGATTGCATTTTAACTGCTTAAATGAGATACTAGGAAGACTAACAAAATTGAGAAAAACTTTACCAGTGTATGATTTAATCTGCGACAGTTAAAAGGCTATCTTGAATGGACAGATTTCGATTCTAGTTCTGTTTACCTAACAATCAATCATATAACTTCAACAAATCAATAGTGCTGATTCGTGATTATTTCCATAGCATCTATAAATGTATTATTTCTAATGTTTTCGGAGTCAAATGAAATAGGTAAAACCGATTTTGATAATTCTATCAGAACACACTTCTAATAAGCCTGCCTCTTGATGGCTCTGATGAATGAGTTTAGGAATTTACCACTTCTTCTACAGTAAATTCTTAAATTTGAAAAGTTAATTTATTACCTATTTCAAATTCATTGTTTATGCAGCTTAAACCGCCATCTTTTAATTTCTGTTAAGTTATTTTTATTAATAAAAAAGATATAAAATACACTTTACTGTACACTTTACTATATATATATATATATATATGTCAAAATTAAAAACTTCTATGTTCATTTACACCGATTTATCTTCAAAGCGACCAAAACATTTTCCTAGTTTTAATTATTGGGTGATTCCAATTGATTGCAAAGAGCAACAAGGCAAAGGAAATAAGGGTGGAATACAACGGAATAACACTAAGGTTTAGTGCTCATTTGTAGGATGTACCTTTACCATTGATAGGCATGACTCTGTTTCTCAAAATCTAATTAAGCTAGGAAAGCTAAAGTTGAAAACTAAGGACTAAACCTTTATCCTAAGCGAAATCCTTTGGACATATACGAAGGCTATATTGCCTCACGACTACAGTTGTACGAATGGAATTGGTTCAATACTCACACATCTGATTAAAAGGTCGGACAAGTAGCAAGTATTTCGAATTCAGTACTGAAATGTTATCAAACCAGACTTTTGGTGAAACTTCAATCTCAGTGCAAGCATAAATAACATTCACGTTTCTACTGTAATTAATGTTTTCCAGGTAATTAATAATTCATAACTGTTTCCTCTACAACTATTCATTTGAGAATTTATTCATAACTTTACGACAAAATGGCTCAGTTCACAATCCGTAATATTCATTTCCGCCCAGAATGTGTGACTAAGCGCTAGTTAGGTTCGCTGGTAAAAGAAAAACAAGAAGCTGTTTTCCATCCTACTATTGAGATAATAAGAAAATAAAACACTTTTATTTATCAAGTTGCTGTAAGTCATTCTTAACCTAAGTGAGGCTTAGCTTGAATTCGTCCTGTTAATTACACTAGCTACCTAACAAAATTTCATATTCGGCTCACATAATTAAAATGGAAATAAGTGACTGATTATGTATTTGGTGTATAGTCTCAATGATGTATTTATTAACTGTAGGGAGTGTAGTTGCTGGGATAGCGTCTACTTTTTTAGACGGCTGAATACACATAGGCGTGGTTTACGTTTTCAAAATCACGTCTTTTTCATGTTGATTACTTTTAACAGCTTGCACTTACTTCGTAAACACACTTTAATGAAAGGTTAACTTAATCTTAGTAGTTCTTTTAGCAGTGTATACAGAGAGAAATCGAAAATATTCATTGTTAAGTATCCTACATATTGTTAGTACAGTGTATTTGTAATTCGCATATTTGTGTGATTATTTTTGCATTCGGCAAATCTCATCCTTATTCTTAATTTTAAATATTTTCCCCTTGATGCGCCTTTGGAATTTTTCATTCCAAGTTTGAACTTGTCTTCAATAGACTTTTGCACTAATAAGGGTTTCGGATAGGTTTTTAGGTAAAGAAAACCTAACACCTGTCATTGTGAAATAACATTTTTTTCGAGTGGCCACTATACTAAATGAGTAAGGGAGGTGAAAAAATTATGTAACGTGTTACGAACGAAATCGCAGCAAGTAAACAAATAAAACTGTCTATTGATGACTTCGGTTATCAAGAATTTAGGCGAAACTTTCTGTACCTGCTGATAATCAGTTATTCACATATACTTCTCATAGACAGAAAAACTTACCTGTTACCGCCTAATGCATTTTGCAAGAGTTTCGTAAGTATTGAATCACGATATGGAATAACTTTCTTATTTTCTGCCAGTGCCTGTAATAAATGCAATACATGCTTCATATAAATGCTAATTTAGAGGTAGTAGTTTGCATATATTATTTATGTAGTTAGATAATAATTGTAAACGCAGAAACAGAGTTTAGCTTAGAATCCAGTTACTCACGGATATTACATTACCCAAGGCTGACAATGAACGATTAATTTTTGCGCCTTCTTTTAAGCGATCGCCAGTTGCACCAGTAGCCTCAGCTCGTTCAGAACCTGTAATATAAACGAGTGCTCAATAAATCACAAAAATCTACATTAGTTATGAACGAATTCATCTGAATCTAATTTACTGTATCTAATGAAGAGTAATAATCAGCTGATTTTAGAAAGTTAGGAAATTTCCATCTTCGTATAGTTGATCTTATAGCTTTTCCAGGGTTTTTAGTGTGAACAGAATTTAAAGTGTAAGTTCGTAATACTAGAAACCAACCGCAGACTGAAAACTGAACATAGTTCATGATTCACTTTCAGGGAGGAAATGGGGTTTCAAACCAGGACATGCACAAACTTTTGAATTATCAAGCGTTTCTAAGCAGGTGATCTGATAACTCACTTATGTGAAACTAGTCCACCTATTCATTAAACACTCTACTTTATATTAAACTTAGGGAGGGAAACAACTACATTATAGTTTTATCCTTATCGATCTAGAATTTGTTGGAGTAGAAATGGCACGAGTTTTCCTACTGTGAAATAGTAACAACTACACTATTTCACTGTTTGACAGATACACTATGGAGACCACTAGATTTCAAACTAGGAGAGTTGAAGTTTAACATTTAAATAATTAGATAGTTTTGGATTATACACGGCCTGAATACACATATACTTGTTCGACTCATCAACATAGAATTCTGAGAAAAAGTGCATTATTCAAGCTGTTACACTTCAAAAAAGTATCTGATTCTCAAGGTAAGAACACAAAATATCTTATTCAGACATGTGACAATATAGCATTTTGAGAATTTCGGCTTCGATATCACCACTGAACTTCAGTCTCACATAGAGACTTTACCTAGAAATATTTGCGATACTCAGTAGCAGCGGTTCTTCACGTTTCGGTCAATAAATCTAGATGGTTATCCATTTTCCTAAAAAATATTCGGAATCCTTGAGCGAAGCAAACATACTGGGTTTTGTTTTGTGACCAGTGTAACATAGCTTTAAAGGTAAGTGAACTGTCTACTCTATACTATCTTTTGTTATACTGAACTTTGCATGAAGTTGTTTGGTGTTCCCATGAGTATCGTGTCCGCGATTGGGAAATTTTCTAGAGTAAATTTTATCGAAGCCTGTGCTACGTTGAAATTGTTGTCTGCGTCGAATTATTCATCAAAATTTATAAAATTATCATCTACATATCTTTTGTAAAGGTGAATTTGACTGGCTAACGGTCCGAAGATGGTATTTTCAAGACTAGTCATGAAACAATCAGCTAAGGGCAGTCTGTGTGGAGACTCCATAAACACATCAACTTTCTTTACTTAGCACAGTTCGTTACATTTAAGATGAATTTTACAGATGCTTCTGAAGAGTAGGCTGTTCAAGTAGTTAGTGGACAGAAGAATTTCTGGTTTGATGGATTTAATGCAACCATATATGTAGTCCATTGCGTCAGTTAAGGAGATGCTTGTGAAGAGGGATGTGACATCTTGGGACACAATTTCTCTTTGAGCACATTTACATTTTGTATATGAATTATATGAAACTAGATATACATTTCAGATTATATCTGGTCATATGCTGCTGCGTTGGTTTAAAGACATCTTTAAACAATTTTGAGATCTAATAGTAAGATGATCTGATCACATCTATAATACGTGGAAGTAAGATATCATTCTTATACCCTTTAATTGACCCAAATAAGGCTGGAATGGTTAACTTGCAAAGTCTTATCTTTGCAATTAGTAGTGTTCTCTGAGCTGGTTGGTTTAGTTGTGGAGCTTTCGTCGTCCTTCTGGAAAACATCTTCAGCGCAATTTTTAGCATAAAGTGAACTGATTTAAAGTTTCCATGAGTGATAGAATTGCGTCTCCCGGTAAGCATCTTTACAACCAGCTCAGAGAACACTACTAATTGCAAATCATCCACCTGAGCTTCAAATCTTCTCTATTATTTCAAAGTCTTATCTTCTCATGCACCTCTGAAGTTATACCTTAATCATTTCTTAGTTTCTTCACTAATTTTGTAAGATTTTCTGTTGCTCATGTCGTGCCCTTTTAGTTGAATAATTTGTAGAGTTTGAAAGTAGATGTGGTAATTTACAAACGCAGTCTGATCCGTTCATTAGTGCGATTCCATCGACTTTGTCTGACAACCTCAGATTATGTATTTATTCTCCTAAACGCATTGTGGAATTTCGAACCATGTGATATGACCCGCATTTAATTGGAGGTCAGAAGTAAATTTGAGAAATTAAAGACGTATGTTTCGAGCTTCTGTGGAAATGCTGAAAGAGTTTTGGAGGGTTAGAAACATTTTATTAGTAGTAAAGTAGTATCACAGCAGCATTTTCTATGATTGTAGATATTTTTAATGGACAAAATCAAAATAAAAAATCTGTGGGTGCTAATTTTGGTTATGTGAATAACACTGACTGAATTTTTCATCACAAAAATAGGAAGATATGTTGTAAGTTCTGCCTCCCTGTCCAGTATGGCAGTAACTCTGCAAGTTAACTTGATGATTGCTAAGATATCATAAGAAGATTTACTTTATATGATGTAACTAAAAAATGTCAACTAGACTGTCCCTATAGAAAAACTGCTACTATTTCAATCTTATTAGTAAGTGGTTAAAAAGACCTAAGTGAAGTTGTATAACCACATGGTTCCATTTCAGTATGTGTACGAAAGAATTGATGAGTGTATTTTATGATGGATTCACTTTGAATATGGGAGTGTTTACCACTAAAAAAGACAACTAACCTGCTAGATCAACTAAATTGATTATTGATCGTTTCCGTGATATGTTAGCTTGTTCTGCTCCAATGAATTGATCAAATGTTATAGTTATTACGGTGTGTGCTCTGCTGCTTGTTTCATTCATATTCGTTGCTGCCACAGTCCTACGTGCAGTGCCTATAAGATAAGTTGAAAAATGAAATTGATAAATTTGTTGACCGGCATTCTGCTTTTGACAAGTTTGCGTGAATTTTTTAAATGGCTTCATACTACTCGTTTATAAATAAGTAGGTAAGTCAGTGTGTAAGAAACAGCAGCTAAATGAAAAATTCTTTTACAAGCTTCAGATTTAGACATATAATTACATCATACAAGTAACCAAGTGATCAGCTAATAGATCATTTAAAAGTATTAAAATGAGAAGCGTGAAAGGTTTGACCACATTTCTGTATGTCTAGTTGTTCACTTGATCTGGCAGGGATTGTTACATAATACGTCTTTCGAAATTACATCCTGTTTGGATATCCAAAGCAGTGTGCAATGTTTTGTATTTCATTCTTCGAAAATCTTTTCAACTCTGATTTAGAAATTTGGCCTCACTTAAGTGCTTTTTTAGTTTTTTTGAGTCTTTATGAATGTTTTTCAATATTATCAAAACAGCTGTTTTAATAGGAAAAATGTATTCAATATGCTCTTTTTTGACTTGATCGATCAAAAATTAAACTAGTTTTCTGAGCTTCGGCTTGTAATTTTTGATGAACAATAATCGTATGTCGGCCTTAAGAAATTATGCCCTGCATGATCCTCAGAGTCCACATTTGCATTTTGACATAAAGTGGTGCATCTCTCTGAATTATTGGCTGTTAGAAGGAACTACCGAACACTAATGGCAATTAGTTTGTGATAAAGTCTACTGTGAGCTCTCTTTCTCTCTCAGTGGGAAATACTACAATTTTCCTACTGATATTAGGACAAAACTTTGGCACTGTGGTAGAGAATAATTCCATTGTGGATAAAATTCTATTTTGATAAAGTCACACAGTGTTATACAGTAATATTTACTGATGACGTTTCGAGCACAATTTATTCCCTATAATCGTATCAAGGTATTCACACAACTTTCTTGCTTCTTTTATATACAAGAATAAAAAGTGATCACACATTTGAATAAAGGAAGATAAAGTACATTCGGAAACAGTATTAGTGTTATCAATAAATACAATACTATGGGAATTAAGACGAGTGTTGTTAATCAATCTACTATGACTTGATATGATTATGAGCAATAATTTTTGCTCGAAACGTTATCAGTAAATATTACTAACACTGTGTGACTTTATCAAAATAAAATCTTATCGATAATGGAGTTATACTCCACCACAATGCCCAAGTTTTATACTTATATAAAGGTATAGCTTAGTTCCTAAGAGCTTACGGACATATCTTTCTGATAACTATCAAACAGGCATTTTCTCATGTCAAGATTTTACTACAGGGGTTTTCAACTTCCTGATTTTAGTTTGCAAATTTTGGAGATGCCATGAATAAGCATTCTGTTTTTAAAAATTTTACAAAACATTTCTCCGACATCAAGGTCAACTTCTGGCTCGGTTTTAAAGTAATTCATAAATTATTTACTATCAATTAAGTTATGGAAACAAACTGAGCCGTTTTGTATGTAAAATGCGCCTAACACATGTGAAATTGTTGATTTCATTTCTTAGGACAAATTAGGCCATTTTTGTCATCCTTAGTTTCAATAATTAGTTTCATTCCGACTAATTGCTAGGCAGCATTCTGAAGTTTTTCTACTCTGTTGGCAGACTCATTTTGACTAAGATAGAAGAAAACTTGCGTCACAGAACAATTTGAGTTTCAAATCTCTGGTGTTTAATTTCCATGTTTCAGTTTTTTTATTTAAGGCTTCAGTAGTAATGAATTCCCCCGCAATGGTGATAAATATGCTGAAGAAAGCAAGTCATTCGCGTCATCACGACGACAGAACAGTGTTTTTTTGCACACAGTCTCGAATATTTTTTCTTCTGCTAAAGCTAGCAAAACTTGTGTTAGGAGTAATCTATCTACCTTATAAAACGTATTATAACCATCATTAAATTATGTCCTTTCTCTATCATATCAAAGGTTGACAAAAATTGCTGGCCTTTTTAATAAAATAACTTCTTATTTTGCCAAAATTCCTCTAAAAGGTCTTAGTAAACATTTTTTTACTTATATTCAGGAAATATCTTATTGAATAGGAGACAAAATGCCTGAATTATCTTCAAGAACTATTCTCGGCCACTTAAACAAGCTTGCTTATTTTAATATTCAAAACATCGCCATGGAATCCCTTTGTTTACGTTGTTTTGTACATGTTTAGTAATAATTAACAATGAAGATAAAAACTTGTTTTTGTTATTTTCCAATAGTATCTCAGCATCTTTTGTTTCAGCATTTATAAATTGTCTTTATTAGTACAGTATTAGGTTGAAGGGCCAAGTTAGTACATTAATGACGATTAGTAATAATTTTTAAAAAGAACTTTTCAAAAATAAAATTACGTGAAATGGACATTTAAATTATTACTATAGTACACTTCTAGTAAATACTGGGATGTCTTACTTCCTAAGTATACTGTCTATCACAAAGCTTTCGTAGTAAAAATTGCAAAGAATTAAACTAATATTCCTTCATTAATCAGTTTACTAAAATCATTAACACTGGCAAATAAACAAACGAAAAAAATAAATGTTAAACCATTCATGTACTTGGTTATGTAATGGTGCTGAGTATATAACTTTAGAATAAAACGGGATAAGGAGTAGGATATATTCTAGAGAAGGCAGTAGGAAGCTTCGAAGCTTTGCCTGATGTGCTTCAACGCTATTATCTTCGCCTGTAGAATAAGATATATCGTTAACGGTCAGCCCTACTACTCGGTGCATGTTCCAGAAAAGTTTCACAAACGTAACAGAAAGGCTGTTTAAATATCTAGCCTGTAAAATTTAGTTGCATTCGATTGTTCATTTACCCTAAATAATTGAGTTGAAGTTTCTTGTGGAGTTTTTTTTAAAAGGATTTCAGCATAATACGCTCCCAAAAATAGTTAGTTTACTTGCTGATTTATAACATGGAAGGAAAGTACGACACAAGGCAGAAACGAATCAAACGGAACATGTAACGTTTGAACTCATATCAGAGTGTGAGCTTGCGGCTTTAGGTTGCAAATGTCAGTGATTAGGGAATGAAGTGTAGCAAATGAGCTACTTGATATGACCTAGCACGATATTTTGTATGCAATTTGCGATCGTTAAGATTTTAACCACCAACATAGTTAGCGATTGACTTATGGGTGCTGAAGTTCCACACAAAGTAATATTTAAAGTATGAATATTTCAGTAATCAAACTCTTCATTAAGGTGGTAATGAAATCTTCAGTTGTAAATCACTGAGACTTTAAAATTCTTATCAACTGTTGACAACCACCTAATGTAGCGGAATCACTGACTGATGAAATCCTAGCAATAAGGTTTATTTTTGCAATACGTACGTCATATTTTGTATTTTCAGAAAAAAAATCACTTCTTGATTAAATATGTGGTGAATGATAATGCTGGAGTGTGAAACCAGTGATTGAGATTTTCTCCGCAAAAATAAGCAGTTCTTCAAGAAACTAATGACGTTTATCTAAATAAAAAACTTACCTATTCACCTAGTAGATCTCACCTCTTTCCGTAGACTTAAAACTGTCAGAATGAAGTAAATTATTTGAATCAATCCATTTTCCCAAAGAAAAAGACGTAACTGAGTGAAACTCTACTATAAAAAAATTATTGTACTAAAACGTTCATTTTACTATTGTAGTTATTCTTTGTTTATTCAGTTCGGATAAGTATTTATGAAAATCATGTCTGATAATAGAAATGGTATTTTACAGAAGAACTGTACATCGTTGATTTAATAAGAATCCTCTACGTAACCTTAAAAACTATATGATTTATTTACCCTGATTCATTCTTTGTTCGATTTCATTGTAGGATCCAACGGGTATTTGTGTTAAACCTTGAACGTAGAACCCTTGAACTGGTGATTGCCTTATTTGTAAGTTTGTTTGTGTTGATTTATCTCTTGTTAACAGGTCGCGAATCTGTTCATTGTATATTTCCATCATAGACAAAGTAACCTGAAACTTCTATTTTCGATTAAGAGACAAGACGAGAAATGACATAATTTTTCTTGAGGAAACTATTTTTGTATGTATTAGTAATATGCTGCTGATTGAATTAGTTTGGAGCCTCAGAAAAATGTAAATATTTTATCGAAAAAGCGAAATACAATTTGACTACCCTGGGTACTGTTTACCCTGTAGCTTTTAGCTTTTTCTGTTGAGACAACCATGTAAATTTCACCAATTCACCATCAGTTAATATTACTGTATAATACTGTGTCATTTATCAAAATAAAATCTTATCCATTATGAAGTTAAACTCTACCACAGTTCCCAAGTTTTATACTTATACGTAAATTTCACCTGACTACGGTGTTAAGAATTGTTATGTATTTAGTTATAAATTACCGATAGCGAAGCAGTAGTTAGTAAATTAAATTCAACCAGATATACATGATGAACATGAAATACTGTATGTAAGATGAAAATATAAGATGTTTCTGATCACTGTTGTCTAAAGGAATCAGTTATCAACCCTCAGTTATCTGGGCAATCGTATTTCTGGTTACCATGCACTTCTTAACACAATTTTTTCAACATTATCCATTTCTTTAGCTTTAATAAATTCTTATGCATAGTTTATTTCAAATAAGACAGAATGCAGTGAGGCAATAAGAAAAATTTAGAAGTAATCTTAGATTGCTACAGTATACATACTAGAGAGTTTCAGGTAAAGAATAATATGTCACTCATCAAATTTACACAATATTATTCGGAGTCATAATGCGTTATTATGAGGCCTGAAAATGAGGCTTTTTAATTGTAGATGGTTCCGTTTGGAGAGCAGTATTTTCAATACACTTTCTCTCATCAGAAGACTCACGGCTGATTAATTTATGAAACGTAGTCTCGGAAATGACTTTGAAAAAAAGTGATATTTCAATGTATACAAATATTATACAACACGATTTAAGCAAATACCTATTTTCGATAAATTCTCATCAGACTTTACATTTACTTAATGAAATATTAGTCTCAGGCTTTTGAATAATTGTGGTTAATAAAATATAGGACCAGAGGTGTGAATTAATGGATAATAATTAAGGTGATCATAATAATAATAATAACAAGGTGAATTCATTCAATTTTTTTTATAAAATCTAGGCAACCGTGAGTGTATAGATAGAATTTGCATACTAGTGGGGGTAGAGGGGAAAATAACTATTGCCACATAGCAGTTAGATAATATAATAATAATAGTAAAATGTGGAACCGAAACTAGAATGTTTAACTACAGCACAACATGATACTGATAATGCAGCTATCATCACAATTAAAATAAAATAGAAAAAAATAATAATATAATATTTACAGTTATCCTGTGTCACAGGGAGAGATAACTATTTTGGGTTGGAGGCGAAGGACAAGGTGGGAAGAGGAATTGAACAAAGCTTTTGTGAACACAGACATTGGGTTGAAAAATCTTTGTGGCGACCGCTTCAGATATGCTTAGCAACCGAAGACGTACCAGCCTAGGGAGTTGAGGTGGCGCCCTGTGTAGAAATGTAAAAGCTGATGTTTTGTCATTCATGTGATCCCTATCCACTGGGTGTGCCAGTATGGAACTTCTGATTAACTTTACGACTCTTCCACCTAACCTCATTGAACGATGCTTTAGAAGGCGACTGTGGGCCTGCCGAGTCGTTCTACATATGTAACTGTCTCCACATAAACAGTTAAATTTATAAATGCATATTGAAGTGGCCAGACTCAGTAGCTTATCCTTCACCTGAGTTGGAATTATACAACGAGTGACGAATTTTAAACACAATGTTGCTGCAAAGACTGTTTTAGCTATTACTTGTCTATGCCGGCAATCCAGTTGCTGCGTCTCTTTTAAGTGGTTAAGCCATGTATATGCGTTTCTTCTCCACAGTTTCCAGGCATTTCTTTCTGTTGACTCTTCTCACCGAGACTTAAGCCAATTTTCGGGGTATCCATTCTCGTATAAAAAATTTTCTATTTTCCTAATTTCACCATCTAGATTGCCAGTTGTGCAGATTTTTCTAGCACAATACATCAAGGTACTGATAAGATTTCTTTTAAATGCAGGGGGAACAAACGAACTGAAATAGATATATTGGCTAACCAATAACTTCATCCGGAAAACACCCCTCTTGATACTGTCATCATGCCTTCTTTTTATCTTTTCCTATATGAACGCAACTTTTGTTTCAGGCATACTGAACATTTAGAGAAGGATCGTGGCATTGATGTTATTATTATGCAAGATAAAAGTATCGTCCAGTAGGAAAAGAGTTCGTTGATTACGTTTTCAATGAAGCTATTGGCCAAGGGTGGACCTAGGGGGGAGCCAATTGCTAAGCCCTCCACTTGATGGTGAGATTCGTCTTGAGCCTGTATACTTATATATATAATATATTCTAGACCAAATAAGTTAATGAATAGTGACTATTTAAATGCTTGCTTTGAACTAATTCACGTATGACGTAGTAGTCTTATGACTTCTAGGAATGACTTCATTCTGTCTAAGCCTACATATGTACGACCGAACTAACCGCTAATATCGAAAATACGTAATGAATACACTTACGTGGGCCTTCAAATAAAATATAGCTTGTCTCTGGGTTTAATTCGCACAATGTGAAATGCAGAAAATACCTAATTTATAATAGTTACCTTGGCTGGATCTGTGTTTTTGCTGATTGTTTTGAATAACTCTTCACATATAATTGGCACAATACCTCTAACAATAAACCCATTAATTTGTTTGATACGAAATATACCTGTTCGGTCCATAGCCAATCATTGAGTATGACTTTCCAGAACCCGTTTGTCCATAAGCAAATAACGAACACGAATATCCATTGAATGCATTTGCTAGTAATCCACGACCTAAATCATTGAATACGTGCTGCTGGCCAACGTATATTGAGTCTTTTCCGCTAGGTACTAGTACACCATTTGACTCAGTTTTGAAACCATCGTGTGACCTAACAATAGGAAGGCATTTTTCAGTCACTAAAAATTTGGTTTTCAGCTAAGACATTAGAAATCACATGTGAATTAGCTACTATGCTACAGATCATCGTGGTGGCAGTTATGTAAACATATCAAGATGTATGTATGTGCCAGTGTTGTTAGAATCATTTGCTACGCCAAAAATATCATAACTTAAAAGACTGTTTAAATGATGCCATTCATTTAAATGTTTTCCATTTAGCGTCCTTCATAAAAATTTAGCAGCGGATCATACTGAACAATATTCCCAAATTTCACCAAACCATGGTTCATCTTACTAATGCCATTCTAGACTTCTGTCAATTTAAAAAAGGTTGACATGTCTCATAACAAAAGACACAGAAGGCACTGTTTTTATCAGACTTCGTATAAGTCGAATTAAAAACAAGGTGATTCTATTCTCCCTATAAATTTTAATAGCCCCTGACACTATTGTATCGAAATATTTTTAGACTAAGATGGAAGAACTACATTCTGCTTGTTGATTTTCAGCTATTGTGTAGTAGTTACTGATCTGTTATAAAAGAAGTTTAGCATAATTTCATGACAAAACCCCCCAAGTACTACATGAGTTAGGAATGACCTGCTGCTTACTACTTCACAGCACTCTATAAAAGGTAAGTAAAGTTATTATCAACAGAGCACTTTCTGGCTAGCCCGCCTTTTCTAATTTTGGTAAGACTGTTAATATCACTGGAAGTATTTTTAATGTGCGGCATACTTAGTGAACCGTTATTTTCAATGCCGATAAACTGTCATTGACGCAGCATTTTACAGGCGGCTGGGATGAAATACATAAGTCAAGCAGAATAGATCCAAACATTTCTCTCCTAGCTAGATAAAAAACAATTTGACCTGCAAATAAAAATGACTTTTAAGTTACCAGTAGGAATGGTCAAATGTAAACTGCCTAACGTCTTTCTGATCTAAAAGAAATGTAGAAAATAGAAGAGAAAGGTATTTTTGAAATTCGTTATAGACTGGTCAAACTGAACTATACGTTACATTTCATTTTCCAACAAAAATCAATTTAAATGATGCCCATACATATCTTTCTAGCTGTATAATTTCGGTTTCCTTGCTCTTTATAGTTTACCTTTAATGTTTATCTCACTTTTCAGCTCTCGTTTAACTTTTTTCTTTATAAGTAATTATACAACAACAGCCATAAATGTGCTAAGTGACCGAGAGAATATGCACAGAATTAGCGACTGCATAGCTGTGGACAATAAAACTGCCTAGGGGACATCTTCTGAATTTATTGTTTTCTCTCTTGTGCAATTATAAGAATTTACATAAATTGATAGTCTATAATTGGTATATTTTAAAAAACCTCTTGGGAATGTACAGCACGACAACAGAGTTAGCTTAATTTTTTCACCTGGAAGTTAATCTAGGTGCTTTATACACTTTCTTCCCTGTATGTATTTGAGTAAAGAAAACAGTAATATAGATACATCAAAAACATACATAAATTTAGTTCATCCGGTTTAATTCAGCTGCGCGTCACGGACATAAAATTCGGATTAGAATTTTTGCCTTAGTTTAACCCACTAACAAACTTGCTTCTCCATTCTGAGATAAATGGGAACGGAAGCTTCTCTAGATTAACTTGGAAATGTGAGCACAAAAGTGGTGAACATCACTGCAAAGTTCTTTTATCCCAGTGAACCTTTCAGCTGTTTAGCTGTCAGGAAGTAGGAATAAAAACTATATAAGTGTTAATCAAGTGTTGTAAATAGTGCATGTAAATATATATTTGCAATTCGATATACCACGGCCCTATCTGGTAGCTATTAGCTGAAAACATAAGCATTAAAAATTTTATGTACTGCTCGTATTAGCTGTCGATTCATCAACATGCAAGCTAATAGAATTCAAAAGCGTTGCTCACAAGTATAAGAATGTGAAACATAAGTGGGCTAAGCAAAAGAAAGACAGACTTGGATGATATCTGGCTTCCTTTTTATTCTTGTTTTCCATATTATCCAAAACATTAGTGTACGAATATAATTTTTCTCTTCCTGCGAGAAATAAATGGTTCTAAATTTTTTATATATATAGTATAGGTTACATATATAAATACATATGGCGTCAGAATATTGAGGATGGTTCCATGTATTTTTTACATGAAACAAAAATTATTATATATACTAATATATACAGAGCCCATATCTGGAAATATGTTAAGGATGTATCTAAAACATGAGACAGCTGAGCAGTAAAATCTCTTTGGGCAATGCTTAGGATAGTAAGCTGCTAATCGTTCAAATTCACACAGTACATATGCAGTGTAGACAGCTAGCACTGAAACTCAATGTTAAATTTCCTAAAAGACACTGTTCCCAAAAGCGAACATGAAAGTTTCATTTTTGTATTTTCCAGTTATCAGAAGCCTGACAAAAAATAAATAATCTTAGAAATTTCTCTGAAATGAAGAGGATATTAATATACTTGAATCTGAGTCTGAAAACTAAGATGCACAGTATTTCAACTGCAATTGCAGACCATTCATAGCTTTCAACCTTTCAACTGATTAAAAATGATTTTAACGTTTAATAAAGAGTTAATTCATAAAGAAATTGAAATTCAATAATGAATTGCAAAAATATTTCCATGTACTGGATACTAAGCCTTACTTTCAGGATTTTTGATTGTAGTTGAGCAGCCATTCATAGAGACTATTAACTCAGCATTACGATCTATTTCCCGTTTATTAAATGGTCTAAGGCGGACAGCCACCTTGATTCTGTGAAGTTTAGACTCTAAAGCAACCACTTACTGGTCTTCAGACATAACGCGAAAACAAGTTTACTACGCGAAAATGTGGTATTAGCACTGGGTTTGGTGTATTAAAACAAAGCAAGAGTGGTCATATAGTAAAAAAGAAACTATTTATATTTATATTAAACAAATAATGATAAATAGTAAATATATTAATTATTTCAAACTATTTTAATTATTAACTGAAAATGAATATGAGTTTTATTAAGCTCAAATTGGTAATTTCCAGGTTTGTTTGTTCGCATCATTTCACTTTGTGGGTATTACAAATGCGAAAAATTCATGGCAGACGCAGAAGCCCATGATGTTGCCGAAAAACAGCCACAATCTAACAAGTCGCTTAAAAAGAGGTCTGAACGTCACTTATTTCCAACTTTGGATTTGTGTCCAAGGGAGAAACAGTCCTATCTTAATAGCATCGCACGTATTAACAGAGGAAGAATAATAAGAGAAACGAAAAAAGAACAAGCGAATAGGAGCTTGCCTGTACCATCAAAAAGAGTCAAGTTCACAGCAGTTCTGCCTAAAAACACAGTCAATATTCCCAGTTCTCTGAATTATTCAACCTGTTGCAACTCAAAGCATAATGGCCGGTTTCCTAGCACTGTTCAGCACAGGCTAGTTTTTGACAGAGATGGGCATATCTGCATCCAAAAAAACAGACAGGCTAAGTCTCCTACTGCATGTATGGACCTCCTCAACTTACCACCAATCCCGCTGAGTTTGAAGATGACGAATTCGTACGAATCAACACCAGTTGGCTTCGATAACTCATGCAAGTCAAAGATAAATATAATTAGAGAAAAAGATTTAGACCTCATTATCCCGCAGATTATCAGATCGCGTCCAAAATCAGATTCCAGCACCATCGTATCCTCTTCTTCGCCTTACATACAGAAGTTGACTAAAAGCCCCGTCCAATTAGCACCGGTACATATCGCCAACATACACACCCTGGATAATCTGTGGTTCAGGAAAAGAGAAGAACTGCATAGGAGATTACAGTCAAAATCATTAAATCATAGTGAACCGATAAATTACATCAGGTACCTTGATATTCCCAAACAGTGGTCTTTCAACCCAAGAGGACCCGATGAGTTGCACGAGGACGACTTTTTTAACTGGTCAAACAGCGGAGAAGATAGGAATATGTCCAAATCAAACAATTCGTACCAAAACTGAAGAAATATTATAGCAAGTAACCTAAATGCACCAACTTTTGTATCATATCTAATAGTTATTTTGTTCATACCTTTCTGTATTTACGATGATGATCTGATACTAAGTAATTACTTTGTTGTAACTGTGTGATACCAGTTGCCTCTTATTTGAAGTAGACGCTTCCGGTCCGTACGTCCCTTCCGATCTGAAATGGCCCGCTACTTTGCTCCTCGATTCATGATATTATTTTTGTCCACTGCTTATACCCAAAAGTTAGGGGATTCAAGTACGGTCGGTTTGTAACCCTAGCATTCTCACTTGACTCAGGTAAATTTTCTAATCCTTTTTATCGAAACTTGTGGAAGTACACAAATTCACAGCACTTTCTTAACAAAAGTTTTACTAATATGTTAAAATAAACAAGTACAAGGCACACAATAATAAGTCAGTGATGAGTCTTAAATCAACATCAAACGTTTATGAAGGTTGAAATAAGAGAACTTATATAAGAGGGGTATTGTGTAAAATTTAGAACTTTTCCGATCGTGATAATTTGTAGCATTGAAAAGTCATCTGCGTCGGTCTGGAAATGACGTGATGCCCGTGAATCCTTAACTGGTTTGTCTGGTTTATTGTAGTGTTACATCAGCATATTATGCAGAAGTTAATGAATGTATGCATGGGGAAAATTTGCGGGGAACGTTACTAATCGGTCGTCGTAGAATAAATGGGTGGAAGGACGTGGTTTAAGTATTTACATCTGATTTAGTGGAAACATCCTGTTTTAATTCTGCGTTATCTCTGGTAGTCGGCTTAGAAAACGTATTTGGTCTTATATGAGATGTGTGAATAAGATGGTGATGCAAGTCAGAAGCCGCATTAGCATGAACGAATTTTTTTTTCCACAAATAACACCAACTGGCTACTAAAATGTCTGATTTCAAAAATCAGTATTGCATTCAAACAGTTACCTATGGGAACTATCATTTGCAGTGAAAATGATCCACGTTGTGAGGCTGTTGCATTTTCACGGCTATTCTGGGACATTAATGGATCATTTAAGTAGTGTTATCTTCATCGATTGATTTCCATAGTGTTTGCGTCGGCGATATAATTTTTCTTATCGCTTCTCCGATTATTTAACCTAATTAGCTTGAAAACCACCTCATCCGTAACTCTAGTTTAGGATTAATTTGTCAGTTTCTCCTTTTCCCCCGGCAAAACCACTTCTACTCACTTTCATACGATTGCCATGAAGACCACTCCTCATTTATCCATGCGTTTTCCTCCTTCCCTCTCTCATTTTCACTGAGATTTTTCAAACTGTTTCAAAAACATCCTAATGATCTTGCTCTACTATAATTTTTTACACCCTGACAGTAGCTTTATGAAAGTACAAGTCACCCACTTTCAAGAAATGAAGTCAGATCAATGATTGAGTTTTACAACTCAAGTCGTGTGCACGGGTTAGAAATCAGGTGATTTTTGAATACGTATATGATAACACGTTACTCTAAATTTCCATCAACCCTTGTGGTCAAAGTTTCATGCAACTTCGAGATTTTATAAGTTTTATTGAGGTATTATGTGAGCTGTCCGAGTGTTCTTCGAGTTCATTTCGGTGATTACTGAGGCTAACAAATTTCGGTTTAAAATTACTCAAAACGACAGTGTGCTTGGCTGCCTAGAGCTTGTTATATATTCTTTGGAAGTTTTGAAAAGCTAAATAACTGTAGGCTTATGAGTTTGTACTTGAAGTCACATATTTTAATTAAAGAAAAGCACCTTATTTTATGAACTGTGTTGTCCCTGATTACAGCAGCATACAAAGAGATCTAGGTCTGCTAACGAATGTAATAGCTATAGAAGGACAGCTACTGAAGTACACATGCGAAATGTGCTGCTTTTTAACTCATATCTAAATATGTGCTTATAAATTTCCTTTTTGTTGAGACGGACAACCAATCTTTGATGTCCATGAAGTAATGACTAATGCATGCGCTAACATGACTAACCAGTTCGGCATTTTTCGGCCGATTTATTTTTGAAGGATCTTCCGGTCATACAATCAACCATGTAATCATTTATTATTTGTGGTTTGAATTTCCGTGAGTGCGTAGACAAGATACCTATCCTGCATTTTTGATAATAAATATTGTTGTTGCCTCAATTGTAGCTGTTAAACATGATTTTTATATCTAGATTAGTGCAGTAAAAGTTTAAAGTCGTTTTCGGTGGCCCTGCTTTTAAAAATGTGTGCTTTCAGGCCGATTGAGAAGGCGAGTAAGGTTAAATGATGGAATCGAAATTCAGATGTGTAGTTGTTCAATCTAACAATGACGTTTAGTGATCCAAATTTTTTCTCAAGCACGGATGTGTTTATTTTGATTTTCGTCACCACGAAAGTGCATGGGCTGTGATATTTCGAATCACTGGAAGATTTTGTATCAAGCATTATTTCACGGGAAGTAACTTAACAAAGCTGTTTTGATTGCTTGTTTACAATACGTCTACTCAATATTCGGGCAGACTTTTAAATGTGGGTATAATGTAATCAATCTTAGA